GATCGTTTGTTTCTACGATAATTTTAATTCAAATTATCCATACTTTTTATTTATTTAAATTCAAATTGTATTTGAAAAATCCAATATTCATGAAGAATCTACCTTTATTATTGCACTTCGTAAGAATATTGAACGCACAGGTGCTTTCGAACAGGCGGCAATTAAGGATGTATAGACGTTTTTATTATTAGGATAAAAGATTAAAAGATTATATCGCAACCTGAAATATAATGAAAAATCCTATAATTGCTGGATAATACTCTAATAAAATTAAACGCAACGACGTAATACCCTTCAATTATTATCAATAAATCAAAAAGCCAACTAATTGTTCAATTTATTAAAAATTTTATTAGAAAATAATTGAAAATATACGAATTATTAAAAGCATAACTAATCAAGTTCTTTTGCAACATTAATTTTTGTTAATTTTTATTGAAGTAGGTAATGGCACACTAACCAAGTTATTGATACACATATGAGGGCGATAATTGCCTTATTTCCGCTTTCATTTCTTTATTTTGCACAAACGAGCTAATTAATCTGGCCTTCTTCGAAGCTTGTAATTTTAATGGCATTTTTTTTCTTTTTTTTTCTTTTTTTAACTACTGTAAAAAAAAGGTGTCTATTTGCGTCAGAAAATTATTATTATTCATCGTGTGCGCGGATGAACTTTTTTTTCCCCGCATACTATTATTGAGTGCACTTTTTCTAACATATAAATCGAGCGCTCACTCCAATTGATTTCATAAAGCATCTATTAACGCTCTATAATTCACTCCATGAGTTCAATAGAGTCCCCGACTCTAAAGGAGAAAAATTTTTTAAAATATCCAACGGCGCACCATAAGGGCTGTCAATTTATATCCGTTACGCGTTTCATTATCGCAGGCCTCGTAACTAAGTGTTTTTGGTCTTTTCACCTCGTGTAGAACGCACTCGACCTGACGGCACCGGCGAGCGACATCTTGCTCAAGAACAGATTGAAATCCTGGTTTCAACTATCAGGACATCCGGACGGATTCGCGCCCGCGGGTCCCGGCACCGTTTGGAAGAGGCGAACCGGCGGCTCCGAGAACACCGAGCGCATGGTTTACGAGGCACTCAGCAAGGACGAGGCCCTCAAGGACTGGATACCAAGGTAATTATCACTAAGCGGTCGCGTAGAAATTATTTGATAAAGAATTTACTCGCGAAGCTATGAGGATCACCAGATAATTTCAACAAGTCCCATTCATTGGCTATTCATTCGCATTATACGCGTGTAACTTAGTAAAATGGTTACCACGATCATCGAGTATCGATAAATAGTAATTAGACTTTAATGGTTCACAACTACTGGCATTAAATTTTTACGAAAGATTGAATTTACCAATGTAAGTTTGACATTTATGTACAATACATTATTTTTAAATTTACTTTTCCTCATTAAGAGCAAATTAAAATATACAGTTGGACTATTGGCAACTAATATGAAAAGCCGTTTGATTTATTATTTTCTCCGAAATTAAAGAAATTTATCTACAAATGCAACAGCAAGTATATTATGTATATAGTATTTATATTTGTTCTGAACAAACTAAATAATTTCAATATTTAAATAATTTAAACTCGTTAAATAATTTTTCGTGCATTTAGTTAAGGATCTTACAAGTTATTATGAAGTTTCATGTAGATATTTATATATTTGAAATTCATTGTAAAATTTATCTAAAACATATCTAACCTTCAAATATTTTTGCGTATATATATATATATATATATATATATATATATATATATATATATTTGTTTATATAAAACATATATCACCTACAAATATTTTTGTGTATATATATATATATATATATATATATATATATATATATATTTGTTTTAATTAACCGCTTAATAATTAACCGATAATTCTATTAATTCACAATAAGTTAATTAAATGCATAATATTTCTTATACATGCCGGTGCGTCCTTAATTATATATAAAAGAATTTAATATACAAAATATCTAATATGCAAATACTTTGGAATCCTGAAAACCATCTAATCCATCTCAAAAGATAACGAACTACTGTATTCTCAAAAGTTTCATTCCTAGCGAAACTTAGTAGTTCGATTCGCGAGATATAATAAATAACGAAGAATCTTTTTTATTTTAGGTATTACCGAGAAGTCGAGTATCACGGCGACACATTCATTGAGCTTCAGGATCTTTTGTTTGGCTTCAACGAGCCCCACGTAATGGACATAAAGCTGGGCACTCGCACCTTCCTCGAATCCGAGGTCTCTAAGACGACTGCTCGGCACGATCTCTATCAAAAGATGATTGTCGTTGACCCGAGCGAACCCACCGACGAGGAACACGAGAAAGGCGCCGTGACGAAGCTCCGATACATGCAATTTCGCGAGAGGCAGAGCTCGACGTGCAGTCATGGTTTTCGCATCGAGGCGATGAAACTCCCGGGAAGTCCTCCCATCACCGATCTCAAGACCGTTAAATCGCACGAGCAAGTCCGGGAGACAATGAGGCTCTTCCTCTCGGGGAAGCAACAAACGCTAATGCGACTACTCGACAAACTGAAGGAACTGAGGGAGAAGATCGAGCAGTCCGAGTATTTCCTCACCCACGAGGTGCTACTTTAATTCTATTATTTATTTGATCACTAATTTAATAATTATTTATTAAATATAACGTATTTTAATTTATTACCTTTATTATATAATTTTTTATATAATATATATTATTGTGCTTCGTAATGTAATAACAGTCTTTCTCGATTCTCAATGTCGAACTTTCATTTTTCGAATATTATATTTTAGGTGATCGGTAGCAGTATTTTTATGATTTACGACAATGAAAAAGTGGGAGTATGGCTAATTGACTTTGCGAAAACCTGTGCAGTACCAAATGGTCATAAGCTGACACATCGCCGAGAATGGCAACAAGGGAATCACGAAGAGGGCTTCTTGTTCGGACTTGACAACTTAATTTTAATTCTGGAAGAAGTAGATTGCTCATGAATTTAATTTAATAACATACCCATGTGGACTGACGTATTTTTAAATCTATTTATTGTGTACATATTTTATAGGCGTATTTTAAATTAGCTCCGATTTGATAATTAATTATCAGAACCGAGAATACTTGAATTTTATTTAATTTCCTCCAATTTTTTTTTTTTTTAGCTTTTGTAAAATATTCGATTATCAGTACTTAGTAATATGTTAAAATATAGAAAAGTCTGAATGTGCGTGTCAAAGGTTATATGCGAAAATATACAATATTTGTGTATATGATGTAAGAGTAATTTTATACAAGTTTAATAACAAATTTTAGAATAATGTACAAATAATGCAATTAAAACCTCAAATGTTTGATGAAAACGAATTTGTTATAATCGTAGTGTTTAATAATCATTGACATTCAATCTTACAAATATTTTTGTACAAATGCCAATACAATTTGATAAGATGAAATCGTATCGTACGAAGTATTTAATTAAATAAACACAGATTGAATTATACATACAAAATGTGAATATATTAATTCATCCACCATTTCCTAAAAATAATAACTGCAATTAAAGAGTATTTTTGAAAAATGTTATTTATTGTAATTTCGTATCTATAGAAATATATTATATTTAATCTTAATTAGTAAAAATCTTATTAATATTAATAAAGTTGATTGATATAACTTAAAAAATAAAAAAAAAACATTTTACGTATGTGAGATTTTATCCTTTAATAACCGCTATTGGTCGAAGTTTAATACACTTTTGAGAGATTCCAACCGCATGACATGTATTTACGACATCGGTTACGTTTTTATAAGATTCGGGAGCTTCCTCCATAACTAATTTTGGCGATGCTACACGTATCGAAATACCCATGCACTGTAGCTTATCTAATACAACTTGATAATCCAATTTTCTCCTTGACTTTGCACGAGATAACGCTCGACCCTATGACCATTATAATTTCATTACACGGTTCTTTAAAATATACGATAATATGCGATAATAATTTACTTACGGCTCCATGACACGTTGAACCAAAAGTTTCGATCATTCCTCGTTCTGTACCGGTAAGAACGTAACTGCATGTTCCCATGGTACCTCCGATTAGCACTGGCTGGCCTATTAATTGATAGTCTACAGGAATTAACGGATGGTGAGGAGGAAAAGCCCTTGTGGAACCCTGGATAAAGAAAACGTTATAAATTATAACGTTACATCTGCTCTTTTGTTAATAAATCAATGTATTATTTAATAGCACAAATATTCACCTTTCTATGAACTAGAAGAGTTTTTTGCTTTCCATCGACTATGTGCTCTTCAATTTTAGCCACATTGTGCGATACATCATAAATAACGTGCATGTCCAAGTCATCTGGCGATGCGTTAAATTGTTTGGCAAACGCCTGCCTAGTTAAAAATGTCATTGAACTTCGATTCACCCAAGCAAAGTTTGACGCTGCAGCCATTGCTTTCAAGTAATTTTGCCCTTCTTCCGAACTTATTAATGCGCATGCTAATTGCCTATCGTTTGTTTCAATATTATCTCTCTTCATAGCTTTCTCCATTTCAACTAAAGCATCTGAAATTGCAAATTATTATTTTGCAAATTAATATTTCGTGCACTTTTCAACTTTATTATTCAAATTTATTGTTAAACATTATGTCTATGACAGTTACCTGTAGCTACTTGATGACCAAAACCACGACTTCCCGAATGAATCATAATACAAATTTGTCCTTTGCCTTCGATACCCATTTTACTAGCCGCTGATTTATTAAAAATTTCATCGACCACTTGAATCTCGGCATAGTGATTTCCAGCTCCTAATGTTCCTAACTATAAAAAGAATACTGTAATTCATGTATCTTTAGCAATGGTAGATTAGATTGCTAATATGATTACTTGAGGAAGACCACGTTTCTTCGCTCTTACAGAAACTTTAGATGGATCGGCATTTAACATTCTGCCATATTCTTCACAATGTTCCTTATCTTCGGCCCAAATATATCCTTTAAATTAAAAAATTCAAATAAAAATATTATCACAACGTTTGATATTTTAAAAACTTGTAAACTATGAACGAATGTACAGAAATAACATTAGACCTTCTCTAAGGGACCAGTCCATGCCCATTTCCATGGCCTCCTCTAAATCTTTACCATTCATGGGAATAATTCCTTTTGAGCCAACACCTACCGGTATGTGATCAAACAAACTTTGAGTTAATTGTTCCTATAAAGTTATAATTTTAGTTATGCTCTTGAAATAAATTATAAATACATGTTAATTAACATTTTCTACCTTTACAGGCTGTACATCTTTCTCAAATAAATTTGTTCTCAAAAGTCTTATGCCACAATTAATATCAAATCCTACCCCACCAGGGGAAACAATTGCTTTTGGATCATTCATATCGAACGCTGCCATATTACCTGAATCAACGAATAAATTTATTCTTAATATAACATTCAATATCGCATGAAATTATGATTTTAAATTACCAATGGCAAATCCGTAACCAGAATGGATGTCTGGTAGACCAATTGACTTTCCCACGATGCCCGGGAGAGCAGCCACATTGGCAATTTGTTTAATACCAGGTAAAAAACCACCAACTTTTCCAGATTTACAGGCCTGTTGTAATTCTTCTAGCATCAATTTCTCGAGCGTATCATTTACATAAAATGCACCTTCGACCTACAAAAAATCATTGTAAATTATAAACGTGAGAACACCGAAATTTTTTGCTGTATAATCAGTTATATATAATTAATAAACCTTCATATTTGGTTGAAAGCCTTTTTTAATTCTCCAACAATGAGGATTTACTTTTTCCAAATATTGTAGTTCTTCTTGATATTCTCGTATAACCATTTTTGTAAATTATTAAATGATTATTGTATAATATAAAAACTGATTTGTATTTATCACAATTTCAACGTCCTCCTATAATCTGCAATCTCAATTTTTCAATTATACCTCGTGAATTTGAGGTTATATGTACGTTTGCTCATAAGGTAACATACCGTCCGTTCGAGATTCCGAGAATCTCTCGACTAATTTTTGGAAATATTCCAACCGTTATAATTTCCGAAAATCTCTCGATTATCATTTCAGGTAAAAACATCAATCACCGCTAGATATCTAAAAAAAAAAACGGCAAACTATAGCATCGATTGTTTTCTAGCATTAACGCGCTGTCGCGTGGATATTTAAGGGAGGCAGACGACGAGCAAGAGCGCTCTCTTACTAGGGACACTACAGTGTCACAACAAGCTCTATCTCTATCTAACTAACATCCAGAGAATTAATTATGTATTAAAAGAAAAACAGACTTTTAAAGATTATTAAATGTTCTCCTATTTAAATCTTTAATCAAAATAAATATAATCAATTGTTACTTATTACGTGCAACGTATTGCTATCTTAATATTAGATTATATTCACGATAAAAAATATTTATGTATATTTTTTAATTATTGTTAAGTATCATAAATTCAGATTAATCATTTAATTAATCTTGAAAGTACGGATAACTCAGATCTTTATTTATATTGTTATTATGATAAATTGTACAATAAACTAGTAAAAGTAAAAAATCAGCTCTTTCTCCTTACATTTTTCAATATTTATAACAATATGAAATTTCATCGTCATTCATTATAACAATATCGAGATTATATATATTTATAAATTTATATGGCTATAAGCAACAGATATTCTTAAAATCACATTAAAAACATAATTTTGACCCATTATTCGTAAAGACATAATATTAACTTTCTTTTCAAAATTTCTTAATGGTAAAGAAACAATTCACAGTAACGAATTCATAAAGTACAATAACAAATGAATAATACAATATCTTGAAGTACTTTGTTAATAGATATTAATTATGGTTTTTGCTTGAATAATTAGTGGGATTAAAAAATAGAAAAGAAAGGCATAAAACTATTCGCTAATCTACAAATAATTAATCATATGTGAATATCCAATATTTTATATTCAGCGTAATGTAAAAGCAAATGGAATTATAAACATTAAAGCTTTAAAGGACTGACAATAATAGGATTAACCTTTTACAAACAAAATAGAAAGAATGTTTTCGAACTGAATAATTCAAAAGCGTTGCCCCTACCTTTTAAGTCCCAATCCCTAGGCTAATGATTTTACCATGAAATATTACTCAAACGAAAAAATTTATGGAACAGACGCTTAAACGAACCAGCATTCGTCTCTACAACATCTCCATTATTAAATAAACGAGTCGTATTGAATTAAATTAGGTGAATACCAAGCTCGAGTCTTGAAAATCAATTCAAGATCATTCCACCAGCTTTCAAAATGCTATCTGCACATTCTAATCTCATTATTTATTATCCGAACGTCAAATTGTTCGTTAAATTGCCTTATTTTTATTTGGGCATTAGCTCCTTGTATAAGAAATTACTCGTTCTAGCCTAACAATTATGATAATGATATATATATATATATATATATATATATTTAAAAATCTCGCGCGCTAGCTTATTAAATATTCGCAATCAGGGCTCAGATTACAAATAATAGAGACGGAGCGGGAGAAGCCTAATTAATAGAAATGTAGTTTATCGGCGAAATGATAAAAAAAAAAAAGAAAGACAATAATAATATTCAAAGAGAGTGTCAAATAGAGTAAAATAGACAAAAAATAGACTATGATGCTTATCGCGAGAAGATATTATTGCCATAAAATACATTAATATTGCATAATTCTAATCGAGCAACTTTAAAAAGTAATTATAGTAATTGAGTAATTATATGAAAAGTTATTATAATAATATATTTAACGCCGTCATTATTAATTGACCATTGACGATACAATTAATCGTCGCGTGCATAGTGGACATTTGAATCGCGTATTTGAATCTACTCATTGCAGCCTGGTGCACGACGAAATTTTCAAATAATCCATTAAAAGGAAGCAAATTAACGACTTAACTACGGCAATACCGTCTCGCAAGATTAAACTTATTTTTACATAATACAGAGATCGTGCACAAATGATTACTTAATTAAATTATATTAAATAATCGACACAAAGTGGGTGGCATTCGTACAAGCCAAATCCGCTGAACCTATGAACCTAGGCATTTTCAAATAGACGGCAATAAAGTCGAATGAAGCTTCTGATCGACTGACCACGCTACCTGCAATTCTACTGCAGATGAAAATAGACAGTTTGAGAGTTTTTTTTATGGCGGTTAGCGTTACAGTAGCCAGTAGGCTTAGTTTATCGGTAGATTATTGCTGTTACGGGCTTTGGTCGTTGTTTCCAAACAGTTTTGAAAGGTGTCACGAGCGGTTTTAGCGGTATTTCGTGTATTCGATGATTTCAAAGTGAACTTAAATGTAATTTATAATTTTCGTTAGTATGGCATTAACAAACGTAATATATTAAACGGATAAATAATGAATTCCATATTGATATACTTATTCATTAGTTTTGTATTATAACCTATAAATATTATTTGAATTTATTGCGAAATTATAAATTAGAGAAAGGGTAAAACGATGGATGAAATATTGGCATTGCAAGCAAAAAATCCACTAAACAGTCCGACAAAAATCAAGGAAATATTATTACAAATTTCAAATGTTCATTTTGAAAATGAAAAATTTTTACAAAAACTAGAGGGTAAAATTATCGATGAGATGTTGAAATAAAGATGTATTTTTAATGAATATCAACAACTATAAGCTAAACAAATTTAATTTTAGATAATGAAACGCGATACAATGAGATTTTGAAGGAAGTGTCTGCTTTAAAAGATGAATTTGAAGTTGAAAAACAGAATCTCGATAAGAAAATAAAGGAATCTGAAGAGTATAATTACTTATTGGTTGGTACATAAAATTTACTTTTACATGTGCATGATTTTCATAAAATTTAGTCTCTAATGTACTAATAAGTTTACCGCTTAATGTAATTCAATGTAGGAAAACTTAAAAAAAGACAAGGATGATTTAGAGTTAACAGTAAAAGTATTAGAAACAAAGTGCATAACACTGAAAAAAACAAAGCCAAGTTTGCACGATGAACAACTTTTGGAATCTGGAAAGTAAGTATTTTTAATAGAAAGTAAGTATCAATTAATAGAATTTTTTGTATTGAAATGTAATAATATTATAAAGGCGCAAACATAAACTCTATAAGGAACTGACAGGAATTAGGTGGAATTACGCTGCTGGCGAAGATTTAATCGAGGGATGTATCCTTTAATGAAATATTTTTCATTTATAAACTTACTAAAAGTCTATTAGACTTAGATAAATACTTTTTTATATATTAAGCATGTAATTGCCTTAATACTTATTTTATCAGATATAACAAATAAAAAAGATTTTTTAGAAGATATCTCATATAAAGGTGATATAGATTATAAAAACCTAAGAGATTTATTGTGGACAAAAATATATCAATCTACAAGGAATATAAATGTAAATGAAGATTCTAAAGATAACGAACCAATAAATAAATAATCGTATTGTTAAAGTTACATGTAAATAAGCATTGGTATAAATAATTGATTATAAAAATTTTGTAACAAAAATATATTTTGAGATAAAATAAACATTACAAGATTTATGAAAAACTAAAGAGTAGTATTATTATAATACTGACAAATTATTTATAAGTTAATTTTTTTTTGACTAGCGAAATAGAAGTATGAATAACATAAGTTGACAAAATAAAAGAAAGTCCTGTTAAAACTAATGCTTTAATAACAAAAAACATTACGAAACTCAGTACAGTCATTCCAATCATCAGTAATGTAACTAAAATAAACAAAGTATGGTCAATTATATTAATTAACAAAACAAACAAAACAAAAAGAAAAGAAGTAACGTATTGGGCGAGAAAAGTTACCTTCCAGTATAATAAAAATATTGAAAATAATTGCAACATTAATAATAGCAAATATTGTGAATGATAAAATTGGAATAATTAAAGTTGCAGTTATTATAGTAAAGCTCACTAATAAAATAGGATTTGACAGCATATATTTAATTGCTTTACGAACTACGTCATAAATGTTTGTTTTATCAAAAAATTTCTTGCATGTTTTTTGCATTTCTATATCTGAAAAAGATTTAAGCTTTTAAGTAATATAATATAAATTTGTATTAGATTTATATTATGATTTATTTACACAATAATTATATAAAAATTATATTATATTATAATAATAAAAAGTATCTCTAATATAAAAGTGCGATATGTTTTACTTACATTGATTTTTAACATAATAAATCTCATTCTCTATAATTGGTTCCATTTTAAAATTCTTAGAATTTTGCTTCTTATGTATAGTATCGATATTTTGCATTGTTTTCTCCATAATTTATTTGTCGATTATACAAATTAACAATATTATTTCAAGAAAACTTTAATCGCTTATACATAATTTTTCTTTAATTCACATGAATTTAAATATTTAGAGAGATAATTTAATAGTGATTAAAGTCTAATATATATTATAAATATTTCACTTCACAATTACTTCAATAATTGTCTAAAAAAAAGTAAATATTTATGCTACACCAAAGAATGATCTATTAAATCTATTAAAAAAGTTAATCTCAATTTTTTTGCAGTCTATTCTTCTATTTCTTATATCTTCATTATTTAAGAGTATGGAATTATAGGAGCTTCTGTTTCTTATTAATTAAAGTGTTGGTTATAAATAATGCTTGATAAATAATTCACAGAGATCGGAGAGTACGTCGCCATATTAAGTGAGAATAAAAATATTTACGTATGGCGGTTGCATTTAAATAGACGATTTAAACAATATACATTGCTTCAATAAAAATATCTCTTCACGCGAACTTATATAGAGATAAAAGTATTTTAATTATTAGTTGCACGAGATTATTAGTTAGCGAGAAAACGTTAAATATTAGATAAAATTAATGTTATTATTGGATAGAAAGAAATGAAGAAAATGTATTGAAAATATCTTATGCGCAAGAAATGAATACATAGTTACACATTATTATATTTTGTAAAAATATTTTTAATACTTTTGCTTAAGAAATATAACAACATTAATTTAAAGAAAGGTATTTCAATACCGTGTTATTCATTTATTGGCAATAGTCGGTGATAGATTGCATATGCCTAAAAATAATTTATTACTTATGCACGATTGTGCTCGTATAATTAACTAACGAATAAAATATACAAAAATTTTGTAACATTGTATAACATTATAGTCAATCACAAGAGATTATGAAACTTATATTACTTATAATAATAATAATAATAATAATAATAATAATAATAATAATAATAATAATAATAATAATAATAATAATAATAATAATAATAATAATGATAATAATAATAATAATAATAATAATAATAATATCGCAAGAGCTTTCATCGATTATAAAAAATATATAATTCGTGATTTCCATCGATGATATAGTATTCCAGTAATATTATAAATAATCATTATGCATTTAACGAATGGAGCTTATAAATTTCGTGACACTTGTACAAAGTAAATTTTTAACTAACGTTCAAACTAAAAATATTCTAAATAAATAATCAATGGAAAATTGTTGTATCATAAGGATAATATTATGCATAACTTATCAACGTAAACATAATAAACGTCGACAACAATACATTGAAATTCTCTTTTTTCAAATAAAACAAAATTCATTCTTTAACATTGAATATAAAGAGAGTATATGTATGTTATTATAACTTTGTATTACCATATATATTATACCATTCTGATAGTTAGATGCTAATTACTTTATTAACGAATACTTTTATGATTCAAAATAAATGTTCTATAATGTCGAATATGAAAATGTATGTTTATTTGATTTGAATTATTGTACTGGAGCGTATCAGAACACACACCTTTATTAATGCCTATAATTTGATTATTATATATAAGAGGACCACCACTGTCACCCTAAAAACAATATATTCATATATATGTAAATGTAAATTGTATGCCTATAAGTAACAAAGTAAAGTTTATTGTGTCGTATATGAAACACGTTTAAAATTTCTTAATTATTGCTCATGATGTAGTAAATTTGATTTTTCTTCCGTTTTCTTATTTTAATTTGATTGCTTATAACATTTATTATATCGATTGATTTAATCGTTTAATTTAATTAATTACTAATGGAAGTTGAAGACAAACTGGATCGATATTGATTAAGAGAAAACAAGCGCACAACTGGAAAATGTTAAATTCTACATTTGTCTCGATCGACATCGATCCAGCTGAAATATGTGCTAAAAATATTGTTTGTATGGAAAAAATGAAAAGTAGTGCTTCGTTACGTATATCGTGTCGATAAATGTTATCATATAAAATTCATAATAACTTAAATGTTAAGATTAATCGCATAACGTAATAGTGGATAAGAGATGAAGAGACGTTATATGATAATGTATTTCGAAAGAGACATCGATAAATGTAATTAAATATTACTTTACAATAAATTGAAATATAATCGTGAATATACTTGAATGCGAAAATAGAAATGTAATAAATCACGAAATATTGAGTATTTTATGTGAGAATCAAGGAAAAGTAAAACTTTTAGTAGCAAAGATGAATTATAAATTATTCCTGTAAGTAAAAATGCTTAAGATGAAAAATTAAGTACCTGGACATATTTGAAAAAACACACTTACGGTACACATTAGAATTGTGTTGTTAGGATGTCATTGACCGAGGAAACTATTATTTCTGACGTAATTTGCACGAGCAAGGATTTTGCTCCGAAAATTCCAAGATAGAAGGAAAGAAAGGCAATTTTAAGCAACCGTGTAAATACACATTTTTTCTAGGTTCTGGAGATTTTTATTCGTATATGAAAATTTTATGTACCCATGCCCAAATAATGATAAGTAATGAATAAATGTGTCGAAAATTGAAAAAATATTAAAATCATCCTTAATGCTTTAATTATTAATGATAAATCGATATTGTTACTATCATTTAGAAATAATTTCAAATAAAATAATTCTCAGATGTAAGAAAACGAATTTAGTGCCCAATTCTACATATATAAAACATTACAGTTCGGTAGGACAAAGAATTTTTTTTTTTTTTTTGTCTAAATATTACTAAGAGACTATATCATATAAAGCATGAACTGATCATATAAAGTACTATAGTGAAATAAATTGTAATTTGTTCAGTATAATAACTAATAATATAGTTTAATAAGAACAGCTTAATAATAAAATCAATAAAACAATTAATATATCTAGGAAGCTATTTAAAAATAATATTATCAATAAGACTTAATTTGTACGAATTAATTCTTATAATATTGCTTCAATAAACAATATAATGTATAAACAAAGCAGTTTTATTTTAAACGGGTTTAAAGCTTTACTTTCATTTCCGTATGATTAAGAAGAAATTGAATCGTAAGTCGTAAGAATTTATTTTAATTCAAATTTGAAGATTATTTTTAAGAATCACTTTAATTTTCATTAATAATAAAACTAACAATTCACTATACACCATTGCATAAAAATACAAATATTTTAAACAATACAAGAGACAAAATCTAATAATATGCGTCTAACATATGTGTAAAAGTATGCGTAAAAAAAAAAAAACAGTATTGAGAAAACAGTACAAAACTGCATACAAAATAGAAATCAGACGTATTAAAGTAGGTCAGTTATTATTCCGACATAATAATGGAGACACATAAAGATATTTAACGAGCCTCACTCAATAATTGAAAATCTATTTTTGCATAAAATAGATTCACCTCCGTTAAACCTTTAACGAATCGTCAAATGTATCGATCCTCGTTATCGATATTTGTCAAAAAAAAAAAAACAACAGAGAGAACCAATGTAATTCAATGAAATATATTTGCCAAACAAATTTTCTAATCGCGATACTGAGAGAAAGCCACAATAAAAAAGTGAATTCTTACAAAGTTCAACAATACGTGTGGTTCCGCAATGGTGCACAGGAGTACCTTCTCAATATAAACGCCATAAGTGAGAAGCGTACTGACTCTTTCTTCACAATCACTTTTCGATAAAATCCTTGCTTTAGCTGTATGTGCAATCGAAGATACTGAATTATTACTTAATACACCCCAGCCTGCCAAAACTGTTTCTACCCCATACAGTTCATGAACTTTTAAAGTACACAGTGCTGCAGGTTCAATTACATCGGATGTCCAGTCTGTTAACTAAAACAAACATTACATTTTAAGCGTTCAAAGATATTATAAATTGCATCAGCATTCTTCATACCTTAGCTTTCTTAAATTACGTGTCATAAACTTTTAATCATACATAATAATATTAAAATTATAGATTTTATCAGCACATATATATATATATATATATATATATATATATGATAGTGGATTTTTTTAAGAGTTACGATATCTAATCACTTAATGGTTACGTTATTGCACCAAACCCATTTTGATTATACGTTAAGTTGTTTAAATTGTGCCATTTGATAATTGAAATTACTTTCTCTTTCATATAATATAAATATAATAAATATTTTAAACTGTATGTATTTAAAGATCTGATACAAAGTAAAAGCCTATTTAACAATTCAAATCGCGTTAATCAATTAATGATATAAGCCTACTTTTATCTAATAATGCAAAATTAATAATGAGCTTGAAATAAAATTTAATAAATGTTTGCCTACAAATATGAAAATACAAATTAATTACTCGATTTAAATTTTGATAAAAATTACGTTCAAATATTACTTTTGCCTAATCAAAGCAAAGGCCAAACCAAACTGTTTCTCTCTTTTTGTTTTACATTAACATTTGAAATAAATGTATGATCTTATTGCAACATTCAAACATAATTTTATTACCAATTCTGACGTATTTTACTTAAATAAAAACATTAGTTTTTAATCAAATTTTACATCGAAGTTTATAATTATGAACATTCAACCTACATATAGTAATTAATTTTCTACGTTAATGTTATTACACTTTGTTTAACACTTCAGCTTACCTTTATAATGGCAATGTCATTCAAGTCATATTTAATCAAACGGTCACATCTCGCAGACCATTGTTCAAAGGATATAAACCATGCAGGAAAAAATACTGCGCCTCTTAATAAATCAATGGAACCAATTATTATTCGAAAACCATCGTCATGTACAGTGTTAAAACAATGTTCAGCGCTTAAAATAGTATTAGGAGAAATTAGAGATGCTGTGCATATTAAATCTCTGTCCACTATAATATCGTGAGTATTATTCTTATTATTATGCAAAATGCACGCAAGAAAAGAAATTTCATTCTCTGCCACTGGTCTAACGTTTACTCCTGATAAAGCCTTCGCATTCCCAAAATTCGATTTATTATCTATGAATTGAAAAAATAAATAAATAAATAAATAAATAATAAAAATAAAACATCATTTGACAAATCGAAAATATAATAACAGCTTATTTCTTCAAGTTTTTAATTACTTTAAGAATTACAACAAAAAGACAAATCAACAAACTCTTTTACTTACATATTATGCATTGACTGAAAATTAAAAATACTCTTATCCACATTCTAAAAAGCAATCATATTAAAATTAATGAAATGTTTTTGTATTAAGAGGACAAAAAAAAAATTTTTTTTTAATTATTAGTAATTATTTTGCGTTATTTTAAACAAATTTTTGTCTACTATATGCTCAATAATCATTAGATATTGTACATCAAAGATATATAAAACCTCTACAATCATACTTTGTTATTTATTATATTATATTATATATAAATATAATATAATTTGTAGTCATGTAATGAATTACTTGAATCCTTAAGACTAAATATAGTATTCGACATATATTAAACTTTTGATAACATAATTATAATTGCATAATATTATTTTATCTATTTATTAAATTTTACTATAATCATAATAATAAAATATACAAAGGTAAAATAAGATAAACATATTTCAATGTCAACTATATTAATTTCTTTATTATTTTTAAAAAGAATTATTGAAAACTGAAAAGAATGTTTAAAATATATAATCTAAGCGTTGCATTATCAAAACGATAAATTTCATTGTAAAATAATAAAAAAATATTTTATATTCAACACACGTTTATATTAATGTATAAATAAATCAATTCATTTAACATTATATTTGGCTTGAACTAGAATTAAAATATTTCTCAAAACCGTCATTCTGAAAATACATCAGTAAAAATAGAATAGTTGAAATATATTACGAATATTCATAAAATATATTTAATTGTATTATCATAGTTATAGTAGAAACTTATCTTATAAACGTGATTCTTCTAATTTTTAAATGACTAAAATGTAATTAAGATACATTATTTATTTCTGTACTAAAAAGACGAAAGATTTTGAAATAGAGCAGAAAATGCTTGGTTTAACCAAAATTCATTTATTATTTATGTGAAATCTTCTTCAATATTAAAGAAAACCCATTAGAAATAATATAAAATTAAAGAAAACAATTATATCAGTATATACAAATACATGAGATATTTATTGAAAAAAATATATTTACTTACTAGATAGTATTGTTGGTTCAAGCATTAAACTGTTTATAAAATTAAATTACAAAACCTCTTTGGGATATATGATCATAAATATGTGTGTGTGTGTGTGTGTGTGTGTGTGTGCGCGCGTTTATGTTATGTATGTTATATACATTGTTTTTATACATATTATTTTAAATTATAATTATATGATTTTTTAATAATTCTACGCTATCTATCTTTTTTATAATAAATTGTATAATCTATTTAATATACAATATACTGTATTTAATATGTATATGTATATATCTAAGAGATCTTCTTTTTTCTTCATATATAATTAATTATCTAATACATTTAATCTTTAAATCTTACTTTGCTTTAATTACTACAAATTCCCGAATTTTTGTTTTGTTTTGTTTCATATACACACACACACACACACACACACACATATGTTTATAATGTAAATTGTAACAAATAAATACGAAACGTTAACAAACTATGCAATTCTATTTAAATAGTTAAGAGTACATGAAGTTATTTGAAATTATTAGACTATTTTAAAAATTGTGTATTTTTACTAGTTTCTTTTTTTTTCATTGTTAATACATTGTATAGCCATGAAAAAGAAATCTACTAATTTCAATATTTTATCTATATAAATGAAAAATTATGTAACAGCATAATATGTATTTTTTTTATCTAAATTCAGAAAATATAACATAGTTTATAAGTAAAAGTCATGTAAATTCTCAGAATAATATAATTTTTATAATTACTAAACAATCACGTCTTAAAATGTCATTAAAAAAATTTCAATTTTATATATTCCTTATAGTTTATATTTTTAAGAAGAACTTACTAAAGTATGTTTAGTTTAAAAGATAACACAATCCAACTAAGTAATTATTAAGATTAAATTTTCAACATTATTTTTCTTTCGAAAATCGACAGTACTTATAGTAGTGGTATAACTATTATATTTTTAAAATATACTATACAAGAAATCCTTTATAATAATTGTTGTATTAATATTTCCTCAGTATAAATAAATATTTCTTTATCCTCTTATATAAAGAATAAGTATTATTAACGGAAAAAAAAGCCAATATATTTATTATCATCGGTTCGATACACTATCTTCTTAGTCCATGGATTTTATAATGTAAAAATGCATTATATCATTGTTAACTACGTTCTTTCACATCTATGTTCAAACAATTAACATTTTACAATTAATATAATGTATTTTTAATTTTTTTTTTTTTTTTTTTTTTTTTTTTTTTTTTTTGTTTTGTGTAGTGAGAGACTTGTCATCTATTTCTTATGTGGACAGTGTATTATATTTTGTAAGTAATATTTAGTTCTTTATATCTTTTTACAAATAAAAAATATTAATAATAATACTGTTTTTGTTGTTAAAAATATTTTAGACAACCCATATGGTGTTATAAATGCCAAACCCTTAATCGGAACGAATATTAGATCAGCAACAGATAACGAATTCCCGAGTGTTGTATCCATTCAGCTTATATGCGCGCATCAGACACCCGTTGAACAACATGTATGCACGGGAACACTGATCTCCAAAAACGATGTCTTAACCGCTGAACATTGTTTAAGCGATGCAAATAACTTTAATAGCGTGCGAATATCAATGGGCACAGTTGATTTAAATAGAAATACACATGGTTACGTTGCATGGTGGCTAACATATGTTGCATGGGCTTCACAGAGGCAAGTGCAAATAACTCACTATCAGAATGATATTGCTATAATAAGGGTAAGCTTTGTTTAAAAAAGAAAAAAAAATCGTTATTATAAACTATATGAGTTTGATAGCTATGTAAATATCTAAATCTGCATATTTGCAAAAGAAAATATTAGTTCGGATAAGAATAATGGATAAGAATAATTTATTATTTTATATATTATTATATATTATTATTTATTTATCTAATTTATTAAGCTGATAATAAAAAATTTATTAATCTGATTATAAATTATTAATCTAAGCACGAGGTATATTGTATTTATTATTATATAATGACACTTCAAATGCTATAAGACTCGTAAGATGTGCTTAAGTGCCGTGTATCAAATTATTATTAACTATTTAATAAAATGACGAATTATTTGCGATTTCTTGTTAATTAAAAATTATCGAGTCTTTTGCTTAAATATGTTATTTAGTACCTCAACTTATATCGCAATAATTGTGTTTTTTGGGAAATAAAATCGATTTTCTTTTATTTTCAATTTTCACGTCTATACTTTATTTATATTAAATGGCATTGCATTTGTAAGAACGAATATGAATTTATTTTAACTAAAATATATTTTCGATAAATCGCAGGTATTCGTACAATGAGATAGAGAACTTTTTCTCGATTTATATTTTTGTTATATTTATTTTCTTTTCGGTTTATAATTTTACTACTACCGTAAGCTAAAATGCTATTATAAAATTAATTAAACTTATGAAATTATAAACCATATATATAGAACATAGTTGTATAGAAAATATTACATTCGAATGCATTTTTCCACTTAATTATCAATTTTTGTTTTTTATACACATTCGTATAAGGTAGATTACTTTTAATATAAGTCATTCAATAATCCTCGATCACCTTATCAAAATTCTTAGATAAATATCGTATTACTGATAAGTATTGGTAAAAAAAAAAGAAAGAAAAGATAGTTGTATTTATCGAGCATTTAAATAGCTTAAAAAATAACATTACCGAAGTGAAAACAGATGATTATTTTCAACCGGACACATGCAAATGCGTATCAACACTCATTCAAATATAAAGCAGAGTGTAAGTTTTAAATAAAAATTGAATATACATTACTGTCATAGTTAACGGCAGATATTCCCAATGGATTAACTCCTTCGTTGATGCCATTCCTGACAAATTATGATTTGTACCAAGAAGATGTTACTATGGCAGGCTGGGGAAAATTAAGAAATGGCACTACTAGTCGAATCATGCAAACGGTTGATTTGAAGGTCCTAACGCAACACGAATGCAATGACAGAATTAGCAGACTCCGTGGAACACCGAGCAATCTCGAAGAAATATTCGTGTGCACCGCTAAGCAACCATTCGTTATATTGGGCAAGGTAATGGGATCAATAGCCACCAATACCAATTGCTACTTATGCTATATGTTTATGAATGGATGAACTACGACCATTATGAAGAATTAATTTCATTTTGATCAAATGTAAAATAAGCTATCAAAATTATATTAGGAATATAGAGAAAACATCTCGTTAAAAAAAAAAAAAAAAAAAAAAAAAAAAAAAAAACATAATTATACTATGGAAATTTACATTTCTCATTCATATTTCTATTTATGAACTGCATACGATATACAATATAATGTACTAATTATTATATTTTAGGGAGACAGTGGCGGTCCTCTTTTTTTTGATGATGATCTTGTAGCCATAAACAAAGCTACGGCTCCAGCTTTAGATCACGTCAATCAAGAGGAAAAAGTAAATATTCACATAAACATTACATTTTATAGACGATTCATTGTACACGTTCGATTATATCTTTGAATTTCGTATTTATTACTTATTACGAATATTACATTTTTACCAATACAAATATTTGAATAAACTTTATATTGTTAATGAGTAAATAAATCAATGTTGCTCTACGAGTATTAATAAGAAATAACAAAAAAAAAAAAACAAAAAATGTCTATACCACAAGAAACGAACATGATCGTAAGGCGACTTATCCTTCCTTAATCATTCTTAAATCATTAAGCAATCATTGTTATTTATGCTAAAAAGTGACAGGTACAACATAATACAAACAATATAAACAATATAAATAGCAATAGTTATTGAGCAATGAAATGATTGAGCCTCTATAGTTATAAATATATATATATATATATATATATATAAGCAGAAGACTTCGATTATCGTGTATAGCTTGCATTCATCTTTCTAAAATAAATTTGTATTTTGTAGATCGGAATTTCACAGTCATCGCATCCGATGTAAAATATTATTTTAAGGAAATTTCTTTAACGTAAATTAAATGTGATAAGTAAAATAAAAATCGTGACTTAATAGGTAACTCAACTTGTTTCACCTTCTTAGACGAAAAAAATAATTTAACGAATGTTCAATAAAAATATATTAAACAGATAGTACAACGATTATTGGAATATAAATTTTTCACGCAAACACTATTAAAAACTTTTATAATGTTTATTTAAACAAGTTTATTTGTTATTCATGGATCAAGCGTGCATTTTGACATGATAAACTATAGCGATATAGTGCATTTTGACATGATAAACTATAGCGAACATTAAAGGTAAAAATATAGTTTCACAAGAATAATAATAGTGGTATATAATAGTTATATTAAAATGATAATTATTTTAAATGCAAATTATCGACAATATACAAGAAGAATATGAATTTGTACTCTGTTTCGATCATATATTTTAAATAATCACATTATTACGATATTTAATTACTACTGCACATTACAAATCCGAATATTACAACTCTCCGCTAGTATGTAATTATTTTTTTTTTTTTTTTTTTTTTTTTTTTTTTTTTTAATAATTTAATTGTGTTTACTTTAAATTAACGTTACCCAAAGGCCTAAAATAATGAAATAATAAAATCTGAAATTGAAATACTTACATTTCATTAACAAAATACAGTTTTGTAGAAGTGAAAAGATTATAAATTTTGAATAAAAGAAGATGGACGCTAAAAATGTTTAATCGTATTACGTATGGACAATTACTATAAAATTTATCTCATTGATTAATGCAATTAAGAAGAAATATTTTTAAAATATGCATTCATCGATTTAAATACACAGATAAATTAATATTTTTAATTTAATTAAAATATTAAACGGTAAAAAAATTAATAATGTAAAAAGAGTAAAAAGATAGGATTTTTATAATAAGAGTATTTGCTATTTGAATTTTTAATATTTTGAATATATTACCATTTTGTTTTCTTCAATTTACTTTACCTAAAGAAACATGAGAAAAATTTAATTTAACCACCGTTTCTAAATAAAACTATCGAGAGTCATAAATGAAAAATGGCCAAAAGATCGGCTTACGTAAAATTTACAATGAGGTGCGTTAGGTTTTTATTTCGGCGTATCTCATTCTTTCGTTAAAAATTTTATTGATATGTATTTTTTTTTTAATGCAAGTATATCGACTGCTACATCTATAAAAGAAAACAAATTTTATTAACGAAAAAAAAAATGAAAAATAAAAACAAACCCCCCTTCAATTACTTTGTTCGGTTAACGATAAATATATAAAATAAAAAGCACATATAGATAAACATAATTTTATAATGAAATAATATTAATTCACTTGAATTAATACATATTTACACAGGCGCGCGCGCACAGAGAGAGAGAGAGAGAGAGAGAGAGGGAGAGATATCGTACCTCTTAATGTATCGTCCACTTAATCTTACTTAATCTATGAGCGTTTAATTTTCTAAAAATGCATTTACTCTATTGGTTCGATATCTTCAATTAATAATCTTAAATAATAAGTTCATTTTGAAACGAATCACGTAGAAAAGTTAATCATTTACCAATTCGATATCAAATTTAGCGGGCATTATTCTTTCTTTTTTTTTCTTCATTATTTTTTTACAATCGATCCCCATTGTTTCGAATGAATTTCGAATAATTCATTTTTATTTTATTCGCTTTCTCGATAAATGATATACGAATATTCCTTTCTCATTCCACCCATCACTAATTATGCAATTTACTAAACAATTTTTTTTTCTCACTTTATTACAATCGACTGTTTACATCACAGAACTTTTTATAGTATAACTGAATATGGCCGGCTATTAAGACGGTTTCATAACGAATGTAGTCTGTTAAAATTAATAAAACTATTAGGAAAGAAAGTAAGATTCGTTAAAAGTAAAATGGCAAGCATGGCAAACATTCGAAGTATCTGCAAATTAAATCGAATATGGTGGAGCCCTAAAATTAAAAAACAAGTAAAAATCCATTTCGATCGAACTATCGGTACGACTACTGTTCACAAATTCAAGACTTTTTCAAATCATATGGATAAAGTAAGTGATGGGAATCGTAAGAATTGGGTATCTTATGGATTTTCCGAAGAAAGCGAAAAACTCGATAAACAAATTATGCATTTTTCGTTTTTTATAACAATATCAATTTGCCTAACTCTTGGAGGTTATATCCTTATATACTTACCAGACTTCAAAATGAAGGATTGGGCACAACGAGAAGCCTATTTGGAGCTAAGACGTAGAGAGAACGGGGGTTTACCACCGATTGATCCAAACTTAATTGATCCGAGTAAATTTTTACTGCCATCGGATGAAGAACTAGGTGACTCTGAGATTATTATTTAGACATTCTCTGTATAATCCCTAAGATCAAGACTACAATTAAAGATTTGTATCGATAGGTAGTAAAGGCAAAATTATTAATGTTCAATTATTAACTTAAATAATGTAATATATGTTTCAAATATATTAATAAGTACTTCTATTATTATTATAAAATTTGCATTTTCATATGAGTTTAAAACCTTACCAATCTGACGTCGATATTATCTAATATTGTTGACAATATTGGTTGTCAAATTTTTCACCAGATTTTTTAGAAATAATTATTAGAGATAAAATTTATAATCTATACAATTTTATTAAGAAGTGTTAAAATGTATTTTCTTTTTTTTTATTACAATTTTCACAAATAATTATATATTCATACAGATATTTGTGTGTTTTAGGTTATTTGACTTTAAATTGCTTGCATTGAACTGACAATATTATAATTCACTGTTTAATAATAAATATACATTTCTCTTTTATAATATTGAATATCGGAGAGCAAATTATAATATCCCTTGTAATACTTTTTCTTTTCAAATACTGTAAAGAAATAAGCCCTCGTATGGAAATGTACTTATTTAAAATATAAAAGCAATGGTTCAATGACGTAATAGTAATAGCAATAATTTGTTAATGTATATTTTTATTAACTTATAAAAAAGTATTAGGAAATTTTTAAACTTAATCAACTAAATAGCAAATGTTGTGATGATTTTCAGCTTGTATACATGAAAAATCAATTATCTGTAAACAAAAACAAAAAAAAAAAAAAAAAAAAACACTAAAAAAACGACACTGCATTATAGCCGTTCCAAATATTATTTTCATAATTAATTCAAGGGGTATATGATACAAATAAATATCAAACTTTTATCATTTAAAAATGATTATTCATATCTTTGAATCTGCTTTCAAAGACTGTTAGTTCAAAAAGATTGTTGACAAAGATACTTATTTATGTATGTACAATAAAAACGCAGCAGCTTCTATGATTACCGATATTCCACAGCGAAACCATCATACTTAATATTTCAATTAATATATTTTAACCCGATATCTTTTTCTGCATTCCTACAAATATAAATTTCAAGGTATTGAAAACAATAATCTTGTCTCGCACACCACATTCTTAATAGTCTTAGCGTGTCACTTATTACTTTCAATTTTCGTATCACTGCGTTTGTTATTGTGTTGGTGAGGACATGGCATTTGTACCAGGAATTTGATTTTGTTGCATAACTGGTGAATAAAATGATGGATTTTGCGGTACAGATGCGCTGACGGTAATGGGTGGCATTCCAGGTAATGAGATGGGAGTTGTCACAACCTGCGGCTGAGGCATATTGAAATTTGGTATGTTAACTGAAACCGATGATGGTGTACTGTAATTTGGATGGAATTCACTGGCTAGTGTACTTTGTACATTTGTATAAAGTGGTGGCAATGGTGGACTCAGTGGCATACCCGGAATATGTGGCGTATTTAAATAACTAGGTGGCTCTATAACTGTAAAATAAAAGAATTCTTACAATTTTTACATAATTGCGTAACAAAATTATTCAAAAGGATCATTATAAGAACAATTATTTTTATATTAGCAATTTTATTTAATTCTTTAAAATTTTCTATACAAAATGATTGAAAAATACTATTTAATTTCAAATCGCTATATTAGATATTTTAATTGCTTTAAAAGAAAAGATTTCTTACCTGGAGGGCAGCTTATACTATGCTGTGGTGAAGTATAGTGTGGAATTCCTGTTGAGCACTGTTGTGGCGAATTCATTATGATATTCGCAGACGATGTTTGCTGTGGCGAATTCATTACAATATTTGCTGATGTTTGTTGTGGGGAATTCATTGGAATTGAAATTCCAATTGTACTGGTTGTTATTACCACATTTGGATCAGTTCTTGGGATAAAATTAGATTGAGGTAAAATTGGGGCAGGAATTGAATGTTCGACTCCAGTAGTCTCCTTTATTTTACCAATATCTGTCGAAGGTAAATTATAAATTGGAGGCATAGTGAATTGTGGAACTGCACTCGAAATCTGTGCATTTACTGGTAAAGTTGGTAGCTGAATATTTTGAGGCGTACTTGAAATACTATTCTAAAATTATACATAATATAACATTGAGGGGTGATAAATTATAATGTAATTTTAAGAGAATTCATTAAAATTTGGAAAAAGCAAATTTTTACCAAAGCAGCATTATGAGATTTGTTGTTATCTACAATATTTCGAATGGGTATTCTATGAAGATAACCATAACCTATTCCGCATCCAAGACTAAAAACAATATCTTTTAAGTAATCATATGCATACATTAAATAAAACATAAGCATATAGTACGATAACTTACCTGCCTTCGCCGCCCCATGTATTATTAGGAGTTATCGTTACTTCTCTACATGAATCATCGTCTATATTATAAACATATAATTTAAGTGGGCGAGACTCGTGAGCTTCGATTAAAGTAAATAAATCTTCGCTTTCATGGAGTACCGAATCCACGCTAATAATATAATCTGTAAATGGTCTAAGCCCAGCCAATTCGGCAGGCGATGATGGATGAACTTCCTACAATTAAAAAGTATTTACATAACGAATAATACAGATAACGATTCAATTTCACAATTGAAAATATTAAAATATCATATAATAGAATAAAAACTAAATCTCCATACTCTCGTTTAATAGAATTTTTACTATTACTTAAAATGTAATTGTAATTAAAATTTCCCACCTTATTTGTATTTTATCTTTTAATGTGTCTATACGTAATTGAAGTTATATATATATATATATATATATATATATATATATATATATAATATATATATATATAATTGGAATATAATATATATATATATATATATATTTGAAGTAATAGAATAACAATTATATAAAAGTTTTTTTCTTCTGTTCTTTTTATAAAGTAAAATCCATAATTGCAATACATACTTTAATATTTATTATTTATTTCGTCATTGATAATAATTGATTCAATTTTTTACTTGTATTTATGTTAAAAATTGAATAAGCAACCGCTGATTAATGTCAAGTTGTAAAAGGTAGCAGCGTATCAGATAAGTGGATGAATCATCGCTAATGAATTATTCAAATAAGTGTTTTATTAATAATTCATAACCTGACAATTGACATTTTATTCGATTTTACGTAAAGGAAAATTTATATTCAATTGCTAATTCAACATTAACATTGTAACCATAAAGACTATCGATAATTAATTATTATAAACGATTGACAATTTAGGATAAAATATGTTTGAAACATACCAAAACGTGCCAAACATTCTCGTTAGCACCTTCAAAAGAGCAAAACCTTATACTAACTCCGAGTAATCCCTGTCCACCCCACGTCATACTTGGTACAATAGTAGTCTGTCTTACAGATTGAGTCTTACTACTATACACGGTAATTAAAAGCTCTTTATCAACTCCAGCTTTTAGAAGCTCTTTCAATGTATCGTTATCCTGATCCTAGACGACGATAAAGCATTAAATTATAAATTACATAATTAGAAGAGATAGCAGAAGTAACAAAGCAGAAAGCACGTACCAATCTTGTATTACCAATGGACACAATAAAATCAAAGAAAGCCTCGAGGCCAGCCTTTTGTCCCGGCGAGCCTTGGTGCACCTGTTACAGAAAATAATAATAATAATAACAACGCAAAGCCATTATACCAACATAAGTGCATACAGAATATATCGAATCCATGAGATTCCTTGACAAGCTCTCACCGTGAGGACGTGGTAACCTTCTGTGCCGCCGCCGGGTATCTCGACACTGTGAGACCCTCCCATTTCGTTTGTCTCTACGTAGCAAAACGTTCAGGTCGTTCCGGGTGAATTACGGAGAACCATTCAACATTCACGAAGTAATCCGTCGTTAACGTAAAGAATTAACCACTAGTAACGCTATTATTTTTATTAAACGTTAATGTACGTGGCAGCGATCGGAGAACTGTACAACCACGAAGCACAAAGCCACCGATGTGACGTGCCCTCGTTCTCGGTTAAGGAGTTGAAAATTTCTTCACTGACATCTGCGAGAAAAAGTAGAGAACCACCTAAGTAAATAAATTCCATTCCAGTTGCTTATGAATATTATTATTATGTCATTCGCATGTTAATAATTGAAATGTCAAGCATATTGATTTTCATATTGAGATAAATTTCATGTTTTTCGTATGAAATTAAATCTAAAGTTAAACTACTCAACCTGAAAAATACTTTAAATTGGCGTTACAATCGCTCTACTTCACTTGCAAAGTATGGTTTCTTATCTTTTTATACTCGTGTACACGTGTCAGAGGAATAATAATAATGACGATAGTAAGTTTCAATAATAATAATAACAATAATAATAAGAATACTAACAACAACAACAACAACAACAATAACAACAACAACAATAATAATAATAATAATAATAATAATAATAATAATAATAATAATAATAATAACAACAATAACAATAGTGATGATAGTAATAAACAAGCGCCACTGAATTTTCCAGATTTATGTTTATTACGCAAAAAATAGGAATTTCAAGTCTACTTTAACCAATTTGAGCTGACACTTTACACGTAAGTAACACAAAATTCATATCAATGTATATTTTCTTAATCACATTTTGGAAATATTGCACAATTATAATACAATTATAAAACAATTGTAAAAGTAAATGCAAACATTTATCTGTAAATATTTCATAAAATTCAATTCAGCGTCATTTAAACAAATCATTTCATGAAGCTAACTCTATTTAACCTAATAATTAATTGCGAAACATTAAGTTAAGCAAATGGTACTTTCAATAGATACAGGTTATATGTAACTTATTTTTTATATAAGCATTAAATAAATAAATTATACAGCTATTGAAATCCAATATTTTTCATATATTAATATTTTTTGCTTCTACATTACACGTTTAAAAAATAATGTTTGTTTAAGCCTATAAACTTATAATAGTATTAAATAATTTTTTTTAGTAGACTTTTCAACATAAGCTATATATATTAAATATATAAAGTATATAACTTGTTGATTATCTAAATATTTAAATATACAGTATTAACGATTAGTTAAATAATGAATATACTATGTGTAATAAATAAAATATTATATTGATAAGTTAATGAAATTAAGGAATTTCAATACTATTTGATGTATATACCGTGCATGTTGTTTATTTATAATTATGCTAAATTTACATATAAATTTAGAACTCATGAACGAATAATTATGTAAATTATTTATTTTTATTTGTACCTAGTTTATCATTATATGTGGGTAAAAGGGAGAGTGCGCGCGCGCGCATATTTCTCTGTATGCGTGCATGCGTGCGAGCGCGTTTGTGTTTAATAAAAATTTTACAATTTATTAATGATATTAAACAAGTTTTATTTGGTGCAATTGAATATTGTACTAATGTAACAAATTTCCAAATTGCAATAAATAAAATTTGATTGCTGAATAAAAAGAATGTATTACACCAATAAATTTTCTATATTCAATAAATAAAAAAACATATAAAATATATATTTTTTCGCAAGTTACATTATATTGCATAATCTTAAAACGTATCTTGTAGAATCTATTTTTAATAAAATAGTAATTAAATGGAAATAAGTTTTAGCAACTATTTTGGAATATTTAAATTTTATATTCGACGAAAATAAAATAATAACGTTACTTATATTTAAATATAAGTAGGTTAAGAATTTAACTCTAGCTATCGTACAACAGTATTCAGTGTACAATAAGGTTTTGAAATTCCTTTGTGAAGTAAATTATACTTGACATATATATATATATATATATATATATATATATATATATATATATATATATATATATACACACAATAGATGCTAAAAAAACTTTTTTCATGAAAGAATTTTTCATGAAAAAATGTATGGCTATGTATTACAATTGCGTATATAGAAGTAAATCAAAATAAATCTGTTCTGAAATAATATGCATGAAATAATTAATATGACAATATAATGAATTAGTCATAATAATTGTACCGTAAATTAAAATATTTATCAAAATTAGTCAATGTAAATTTCAATGCTCTATTACAAAAACTGTATTCTATAAGAAAGAAATATCCTATTTAAAGGCTTATTAATAATTTAGACTGAAAAACTGATTATATAATCTTAAAAACTTTAAGAACAGTTAAATAAGACACTGCATAATATAAAATATTATGTAAGATTAGAATGTATTTTTAAACTCAAGATTTATTTCTATTTGATAATTTTATTATAAAATTAGCTTAATTATAATGGATAATTAAGAGTTAAAAATTAAATGCTAAACTTAATTCCTAAAAATTATATTGTTCATAAATCGTTAATTTCCTTTACAGCTATTAATGCTTAAATATTAAACATTTCTTAAGTTTAATGCTAATCTGCCATAATACGACATTGATAATGTAAATTGTAATTACCGTGGGTCATCTTAAAATCAATAAAACTAATTGAGATAGATAAATAATGGTAATCCTTTGTTGGTTATATTTCAAACAGATAAATAAAAATAACGGCAAAAGATTTTAAAAAATAAAGACATTTAAATTTGTTATTATATAAGGCTCTTTAATAGTTATCAAAGTTTTTGCTTTTCCAGCAAAATAAACAATAAGATGAAATGTAACTTGTCTTGAACAATCATTCATTGTTCAAAAATATAGTATGTTCATTTATTGTCAAAATTAATATGAAATTGCTAGTAAAGCATTTAATTTTTATATATAAAGTCCAACTTAATTCATTGAAACTTAAAACTAGTGGGACTTATGGGTATGTATAATATTTTAATTAGTTAAAAGAAATTATTATTATTGTTTCAGTAATTTTATATCTATTTTTGTCAATTCACTGTCACAAACATTATCGCTATAGCATTTGTCACTCTTAATAATATTTTTTTTTTATTATGTACTTGATTGCGTTAATTATAATAAATATTTATGTTATTTAAACTTTGAATATGCAATTAAATTAAAAGCAAACAAACTCATGCTAACTCAATAATACATCCATTATTTACTCTAAATTTGCTATTAGTCTTAAAGAACTATAAATAAAAGATGTATTTATAACTTCAAAGGTAATACATTTTTTTCTTATTTATTTTATAGTATTTGAACTATTGAACTCACTCGACGATTGTAAATTTTTAAAACACAATTATACCAATAACGGTAAATGTCATTTTATTTGTTTTTTTTTTGTATTTATTTTATTTTTTTAGTTATTTATTTTATTCATTTTAATTATTTATAATATAACTAACTTTTCAAAACTGATATTTAATCATGAAATATTGCCTTTTTCTCAAGACTCATTACTCACACACGACTCGAAAATGGGGTAATTCAACTATGTAATATGTGATTGTCTTATCCAATTGCATCACAATTAAATTAAATATCGTTTACTTAATTTGCTTTACAACTGGAATATCAAAAACCTTATAAATAATGTATCTAAAATACTTATATAGCACTGATGATTTTTTTTTATATATGTAATGTGTTGCGTGAAATTAATGTTTGTAAAATTTATAATCACCGATACATAAAGAACTTATCAAAGTTCTACCCTTAAAATTTACGAAATTTCTTAATCACAAATATATATCTTTTTTTTTTTTTTTTTTTAAAAAAATTAAAAATATGAATTCATTATAAATTTATTAATAATATATATTTATAATTTCTATAGCCTTAGTATAGTTAAATTAATGTATTTATATAATCTTTCTACGTAATCACTTACCAAGTTGAAGTCAAAAACAAAAATTGAAACCACACATTTAAATATTTAAATACTTATCAGACAATATTCTGAAATTGTGTTAGTGCATATTCGTTAGTAAATTCTTTTTTCTTATCGTTACATAATGCGCCTATAACGTGTAACTGTAAAAGTATTTCAATTAAATTATTCGAGTACTATTGGCGTATATTTTTATCCAAATTTTTTTTTATTTCGTGCTTTCGACCATATATCACTACTTACAGAGTATAGAATCCATCTCGATCTCGTTCATAAAGATTTTTTGAACCTCACCTTTACACTTCTCCGTATTATTAGCTCGAGACTATTTTCCAAATTCCTCTTTGCTATCCTACTGATTCGCGTCTCGTAAGTTCTAAGCTCTAATTAGTTTTCTATTCTTATCACAGTAAAAGATTAATATATATATTAAATCTAGTTCATTTATGATCTGTATTTAAATGCAATAAAGTATATATATATATATATATATATATATATATATATATATATATATATATATATGTATATTATTATTATTATATTATATTATTTAAACGATTGAATCGTTAATTATGCTGATAAGCCGAAATTAGTCAGAAATTAATATGAAGAGGTTGTTAATAATTTATGTGCAATTTATTACAATAAAATAGAACATTATTAAAAGAATGATTGAAATTAAAGAGCCATGAGATTTACATAGAAGTAATTACTTTTTAATTTTGATACTCTTACATCTTATTAATTTACGTAGCATTTGTTAAAAGATAAAAAGAATGAATTTTCCTATTTCCATTTGATTAAATCCTTTTAGCAAAGTCTATCATTGCATCGTACATGTAAAATACTAATGAATGTTGGATATTAAAAATAAATTTAGATGAAAATGGATTGAAATAATTCACCCCTCTAGCGATTTAAAGACTATGTCACTTTAATTAGATCTTTAATATTTATTGTACTATTTATTAATATCGTAAATGTCATTTGCAATAATAACAATAGATATGAAAATTAATGCCTATTATTAATATTGTTGAATCATGCCTAAGTATATTATAATATACTTATACAAATAGGCATACAAATCATTTAAAAATTAAGCTTACGATAAATAAGCTTACGATAGTTGTTAGCGCAACACTAATGTGAAAATTAATATCGATGTAAATTTTAATAAAAGCAGTATTCAAAATATTGTCCCATATAGCTCGAGCGAGTATATAATCACGAGAGTACAATGATAAATAATTGAATTTGTCAAGAATATCCCTCTACCATACGGCATCTCCTCCAAAGTGCGATCACTAGCACCATTGGACCGAAAATGTAAATTTAACGGCATTATCCATTATCGACACATCGTATTTATCGTATAACCAAGAAATCCTGTAAAGTACGACTCTGGTTATTGCTTATATTAATCAAGAAGAAATTCGGATGCAAGCTACTTGCATCTGATAAAAATTGAATTCTGTTCTTTATCGTGTTACGGGGACGTAATATCAATCACGAATCGTTCGGCTAAGCGGGCATAGCTACAGCCCAATTGGGAAAACGATTTCCCATTGTAAGTATTCGAGTTCGTGAATGACGAATTGTAGGTTTGACGATAATAAGCCTCCATTCATGTACGGGAGACAACGAGAGTGCGATTGTCGGCCTCTAACGCCGAACATGGATGCGCGCTTAAGGATTGTGGAATGCTCCCTCTTGCGTAAAACGGGATGACGCGAGGACGCGCCAGGCGCCAACTCCCGCCCGGGAACGTCAAAGTTGCAAGTGCCCGTACGAGTCTAGGACGTAGCGAGAAGCGGGAAAGGAAGTAGGAGCGCGATGGGTCGGCCGTCGTCTCCAGGCTGATTTATCGATCCGGCGGTGCCGCCGCAGCCGGAGAGACACAGTCGGTGTCGAGGTACGCGCTTGGCGGCCAGAGGGGCGCAGGCGCATCTCCTGGTGCCGTGCATGCGCGGTGGCCGAAGGGCCGAGGGGCCGAGGAGCCAAGGGGCCGAAATAAGGAGGCGCGAGCGAGTGACATCGCCGTCGCGTCAGTCAGGATGAGCGCGGAGGAGACGCGCGAGCGAAGCCTCCTCCAGTCAACGGCGTCGAGGTTGCCATGCCATTATCGATTCGCGTAACAGCCCGGAGTACGATCTGGACGGCGTCGAGAGCAGCCAGCGCTGCTTGCGCTTGACCTTCCACGGGAGCTGGAATCTCGCATCCTCGCGCATGCGACGCCTTACATACTGACGGTCCGCCCGGGATCGTAGCCCAAGGGCTATTATGTCGTCGTCGTTGTTGTTGTTGTTGTTGTTGTTGTTGTTGTTGTTGTTGACGACGACGATGATGATGATGATGATGATGATGATGATGATGCCATTGCTGTTGTGTCTTGGCGAGTGCAGCCGACTGACTCGTCACTCGATACAGGACCAATGTCTCCCGGACGCTGGAAATCTTCCGGTAAGTGGGATCCTTTGCTCCGTTAGCGTTGCTTAACTAAGGTTAATTGGAATTGGGGCAACGGGCTGCTCGCGGATAAATGAGGTTCGACTTTAGGTCCGATCACGTTGCGAGGAAGCTTAACGCGCCGCTTCATGATAGCCCGGTTATCGATGGGGGTAGATAAAATGCGGATGCAACGAGCTTAAATATATTTTCCCGTGTGCGCCCATTCGACTTAATGCGCTTAATGCGACGCCGAGAAAATCGCGGCCGAAGTTCCCGATGCTTTGTTGCATTAGCCTGAAGCAGAAAAAACAATGTCTACTAATAACGTCGATTGTGATATATATGTAATCGAAGATAAATATCCGCGTTAAAATGCTTTGACCCGAGCCAAAAAGATACAGCTTAACCGGGACGACGTTTTTGCATTATTTGTCGCCTCGGTACGACGAAGTGGATACCGTAATTATTTGCACAGTAACAGTCGTCATAAAAATTCATGGGAACTATATAATCTTTAATACATAAATGCGTTAAAACGATCGCATCAAAAACAAAATCAAAATGCTCATTCAAATTATTATTATTTGTTCAACAATCAATTCTACAATTCCCGTCTATGTTCGTTAAATTAACTTTCTTACGATTAATACATAAGTATTACAAGTTCATTCTTTATACGCTTATTGCGAGACTGGGTCATGCGAGTGTGCTAGCATATTTAATTAATGTATGTACTTCTAATTCAATGGCAAATAATACAAAATTTTAATGGCCTAAAACATTAAATTTCCAGCTACAATTTTTAATACATTTCTTTTAAAGGTTGTATGAATGATTGAAGATAGGATAGTATTGGCCTTTCGCTTCATTTCTTTTAAAAAAAAAAAAAAAAAAAAAAAAAAAAAAAGTTAGCTTGGTAAATTGTAGATTATGAGAAATTAAAAGTTTCTAGATATTGTGATTTTGTGACGTGACTTTCATAAACTTCAATTCTACAATGATAAGTGACACATTGAATAAACCTTCATACAAACTCAATATGTTGTAAATAATTTTCCAATTAATTGTAACGAGAACTACATAATAATAATTCAAAAATTCAAAAAAGAAAAAAGAAAAGGAGAAACACTTGCATCTTTATTTTGTAAATAAAATAGCGGCAATCGTTTTATCAAATGATAGAATGTAAATATTTTGAGAGCATTAGTATCATTAATTTTCTTTCTCAATTACTTCAAGCCAGTATCAAAACATAAATGTTTATTATCCGATCAGCATAAGATATACATTATTTTATTATATGAATTCTTATATTAGAATGCTTTGAAAAATTTGTTTAAAAAATCGAAAAATAATTGGAAAAATAAACAATGTTATAAATTACAATCAGAGGAAAACCTTTTATTTCAAAGATATAATTTAACACAAATGTATAATATATATGTATAAATATATATAATATATATGTATAAAAAATTAAAAAATATATATAAACACACACAAATTAAAAAGATAATTTAGATATTAAAGAATTTTTATGCATCACAACGTATCGGATATATTTCATTTGATTTTAATATCATACGGTCATACACCTACCAATATTTTTTTGTTAATCGAATAAGTCTTAAAAATTTCTAATTCCTACTATATGGAAAAATTAAAATTTCTAATAATTATATCAATATTTGGAAGTGACAGATCAATGGATTTTCGGCAATCTCTTTCAATTTTGGATAGACTTATAATTCCTCGCAATAAGGTATAAGTAATTATTTGAATTTGTAATATTTATTCGTTTAATTTTTAATTCACAATTATTAAATTCACTTTTCACTTCCATGTCCTACTTAACATTTCACAGTAGTATAGAGAATAAAAAAATAAAAAAAGAAACAACGCAATACAATGTACTGACGATTACAATACCAGATTACAATTTACTCGCATAATGGAGGATTTAACTCGGAAAGGATAATTGCCAAAAATAATAATTAGTTTTCATTGTAAAGATTAATAATACGATCGTTTTAAACATATATTAACACCACAGTCGGAATTAGTAAAACAACGTGTAAATTATATTTATTTGTATATTAGCTTCGTAAAAAATGATATCAAAATATTACGGAATATAAGGAATAAATTGGTTTGTCTCTACAAGAAAAAATATTCAATTTCAATGTATTGTTTTGCGGAAAAATTGTCATAAAGGACGAGTAATGAAAGATATGAATTATATGATAAATACTCGAATCCATATGAATCGTCAATAAACACGATTTATCAAAAGCATGACAATCGTTCGTTCAAAATATGTGAAATAATTTCGGCTTCGTGCAAAAACATACCGAGCGAATATAATTAATATTGATAATTGTTAAAATATTCAATTTGCGATTAAGGCAATTTCGGCTTAACAAACGGCGGACAAATTTATAAAGATATAACCTTCATTTTGAGAAAGCCACCCGAAATTAAGAGAAGCCGCGTCATAGTCAATAAAGAAAATTTCCGAGTAATGACGATGACGATGACGATGACGATGACGATGACGATGATAACGATGATAACGATGATAAAATAATTAGTTAGGGTTAGGTATAAGAAATTAGCGATGGTATTCTTGGGGTGATCATAGTAAAAGTGTGCGGAAGCGGTGTAAGTTCGGTTAGCTTTCGTCGGCGCACAAACAAATCTCGCGCTGAATCATTATACAGGTTTCCCTGGACGGGCTCCGCGACACTCGTCAACCGCGCATTAACAAATGGATAATGACTAGACGGGCGGACTAGAGCTACGTAACGACGTAAACAGGCGCTTAACGTCGTAAATCGTCGTTGTATCGCATTTACCGAGCGGGGCTTCGATTAGCTATTGGCCGTGGGAGCGAGGGAGGCCGATCGATTGTTCAGTGGCGTAAAACGGCTCGACCGTCACCTCATTCGAAGTCTGAATTTTGCGAATTGTCGTAGGTCCGCTCGAGGGGCGACTGAGCCCCGGGTAGTCGCCGCTATGTTCAAGAATCTCCGGCATGCGAGACCCCCGCATCACCATCACCATCAGCAGCAGCAGCAGCAGCAGCAACAGGAGCAGCAACAGCAACAGCAACAGCATCAGTATCGGCATTGGCGGCAAGAGCAGCGAGGCTGGCGACAAAGACGGCCTAATAAATCGGAGCGTCGGCACCCGACTCGCCACTCGGCTCTCGCGCTACTGCTCCCTCCAGGAGGTCGGACTCACACCCCCGGAGCAACGTCGCTTCCGGCGGAGCCACGGGCTCCAGCTACCGCTGCACCCGCAGCAGCTCCTCGGCTGGCTTGTCCTCCTCGGTCTCGCTAGCGGCACCTTCGCCTCACTCATACCGGCCCTCGGGCCCCAACTGCGTCCCGCCGTCCTCGGCAGCGTCATCGCGACCCTCATTCTTCACGTGGCCTCGCACCTCGCGGCCCTCCTCCTCGATCCCGCTGAGCCGGCAGTGCGCCGCCAGCCAATCTCCCAGCGTGTCCCGGAATTCGACCGGAGCCGACACCGGCACGTCATAGAGAACGGGCGCTGCCACCTGTGCAACGTCGAGGCCTCCAGCCGCCGCACCAAACACTGCTCCGTCTGCAACAAGTGCATCGCCCGCTTCGACCACCACTGCAACTGGCTGAACAGCTGCGTGGGTAGCCGGAACTATCCGGCGTTCATCGCGTGCCTGGTGACGGCGGTAGTCGCCGCCCTCGCGGTCCTCGCCCTCTCGGTAGCCGAGCTCGCCCTCGTGAGGCTCGGAGTCGGGGCCGAGGCCGAGGCCCGGCCCGGCATGGACAACGTCACCCTCCCCATGAGCCTGCCCCTCCCGGGCCCCGGCTCTCTCATCGTCATCTCCGTAGTCGGGCTCCTCTCCGCGATCGCCGCTGTCCTCCTCATCCACCTCTGCTTCTTCCACGGCTACCTCGCCTGCCTCGGCCTTAGCACTTACGAGTACGTGAGGCGGAGACGGGCGGCTCGACCGGATCCGGCACTCCAGCCGATCAGCCAGCCCCGGGATGAGCCGGTGCCCGGATACCGCGAGGCGGGCACGCCAGCCGAAGAATCGCCCCGACGGGGCTTCGCGCGATCCTTCATCCCCGGGGCCGGCCCGCGCCAAGACTGCCGAAACTTCCGGCTCTGCTTCTCCTACGACTCGCGGTTCGACGAGACCTCGATCGAGGTCAGCTCGCGGGCCCGCTCCGAGCCGGAAGAGGGACAGCGAATGCGGGCCCGAATTGCCCAGCCGCCGGAGCGGCCGCCCCTCGAACTCAAGCCCTCGACGCCCTCCCCGGTCTCGTGCTGCTTCTCGCTCATGGGGGCCTCCTCGGGGCCTGGCATCGCGGCCCTCGGCCTCGGCAAGCCCAAGCAGCGTGAGGCAAGGTGCGTCGAGGCCGAGCCTATCGGCGGCACCCGCGCTTGCGCGACGATGCGCCGCATTCAGAGGTTCCTGCGCACGCGGCTCAGGAAGAGCGCGCGACAGAGGGCCTTGAGCGCGGAGGTACGCACCGGCCGTAAAAACAGGGTCAAGCCTACGGGAGATAAGGCCGGAGATGTCACGGAGACGACGGCCGGCTCCCCTCCGACGCCCATCACGGAGATTAGCGGCGAGACGCCGCAGCCGATTACGCAGACGCAGGAAAGACTGCCACCGCTGAACCTCGGGCCGAGACACCGACTCAATAAACCCGAGCTCGTGCTCGCTGACCCGAGTGGACTGGCCGCGGTCAAGAGGAGCCAGGCCCATCTGCGCCTACGGCGACCCCCCCTCGGGCATAAGAGGCCCAGGTTCAAAGTGGGACCGCACCTAGGCCAGTCGGCGCAACTCTCGCCTATACCCGAATCCGAGTTGTCCAAACCGGCCTCGCCGAGATCCCCGCCACTGGCCAATCGTTTCACCTTCCCGCCGTTGAGTAGTTCATAATCGTCAGCCTCGACACATTGTTTTCTAGTTATAGCGTATAGAAAAAACTTTGGGCGAGCCGGGAATCTTCCCTCTCTGCCTACTACTCTTACGATTAATACTACTACTACTACTACTACTAATACTACTAGCGGACTCCCTGGCAATCGTCTCTTCGGATGTCTCCGACATGCCGCTCGTTACGTGTCGTCCAATTGCGGCTCCCTTTTTACTTAATACCTGTTATATATATATATATATATAATGTACGGCTCTTTAATAATTATCAATTATTTTTAACCCCCAACAAAGATTTACAACTCTGCAAAATACGACAAATTATCTGTACTACGTAAGAATTTTTTAATAGCCTAAACAAAGAATGATTTTCAAAATTAGCTCGTATATAACTTAAAGTTCAATAATTAATATCTATATATATATATATATATATATATACGTCTAAAATTGATTCATACATACTATTGTTAATTATATTAGAAAAATTATGCATAGAAGAAATTGTTCTTCTAATGTGTTTCCTTCATCCGTTTGAAAACTGTTCAAACGCGTATAAATTATCACTTTACCCATTAGATGTATTGCATTTAAACATTCGTATTGAAAATTAAAAAAATTAGAGTAATATAATATACGAAACTAATATTACAAATTCTTGATTGCCAATTTCAAAACAACTTATCGTTCATTTTTCGAAATTCCACGTATAACAAAAGTTGGAATTTCGAAATTCAATATTTCTTTCACAAGTACATGAATTACAAAGTATTAAGTGTAGACAGTACAGTAATATATTATAACATTACTTAATCTTATCAAATGTTAATTATACTTTCATTTTCACCGTTCATGTTGTCATTCGTTTAATTTCAATTGATTTTACTGAACTTTCTGAATGATGATGACAATCTTACTCAATGTTTTCCCACATTGCGGAGGAAATATTCTTTTTTAATAAAATGTAGATACTATTGAGCCATCCTATTGAGGTGAGAATCTAGTTGTAAGAATTAGCTGTAAAATTTTGTTAATTCCTACATACAAACAATCAGACTAGTATTTAAATATTCAAATATATATAGTCACAATATATATATATATATATTTAAAGTTACCATGTAGTGAAAAGTTGATCTAGTCTTTTTACGCGCCAATATTGAATTGTATATCATTAAGAAATATATCGATTGCGTACATTTTTAATTCTTTATTGTGTCAATTACGATAAAAAAAAAAAATTTTAAAAAAAAGTAAGAATAAGTAGCTTGTGTAAATATTCATACAAATTTGATATTGAATTCGAAATTTTAAAAGTATAGAGTTACAGAAATTATTGAGGTTAAGTATAAAAATATAAGAATTATCTAGAAAACTATATTTAATTAACAAAAGTGTACTTTACTATATTCAAAAGTATTGAATTAATAATATTTACATTTGACATTAAAATAGAAATTGTTCCAATTTTCCGAATTATGTCCTAAAATTTCTAATCTCAACTATAGATTTTACTTGTAAAATATAATATTTACGTACTGTTATATTATAAATATAATCAAATATCGATATTATTTATTTGAAAGCATAGTCTTATGATCTTTAAACAGTTTGGGTGGATCAGGCACACTTGTTTGTAAGCATTATTTATCTTAAGCAGATTTATAATCAAATTTATTAAAACATTAAAATAAGGTCTTCATTTTACAATTGCTTTATAAACAAACAAAAAATAATAATAATAATAATAAATAAATAAATAATTACTTCTATAAAGATGGTAAAACAAGATTCACAAATAGAACATAAATATACTTTAAAAAGTAGTTTTATATTTTATCGTGTCGCCGCTATAGCCTTCAAAGTATAATAAAAATATAGAATATATAAATTTTCGCATCAAAATTAAAATGATAAATGTACACAATGGAATTATAATTACTCTTTATCCCTCCTCCCTATAAATATCGTATAAAAATGCAAATTTTTCTAAAAGTCATTCGATTATTTATGCAAAAAAAAAAAAAAAAAGCATCGTTTTTTAATTATGAATATTTTACTTGTATTTGTCATTTTATGCAAACGAATAAATCATGAAAATCTAATTTATAATAAAATTGTACGATCAAGACCTAATTCATCAACTTGATTATTAATAACGTATAAACACTAAAAAGAAAAAATGGATGTGCGATTATGATTTTCGCCTATCTATGGTATCACACCTGCCTAAGGCTCATTTATACGCTGTAATCTTAATATTTTATAAAAATAATAATTTTGCTACGAAAAGATTTTTTCCGTGCATCGCTCGACCTAACACCATACTAGTCATGCTGTAAAAATAAATAATATTGCTCTGCCTTTGAGAGATTATACGAATAATTTAACATATAACAAAGAAAAGAAAGAAGAGAAAATGGAGAAAAAAAAAATCTAATCATACGATTGTCACAATCTACACTAACGCGAATGAAAATTGACACATCTATTTTGAATAAAACGTATATTCACAGAGAAACGCGAGCCTTTTTACAGAATAATTTTATTGCTAAACGACGATATAATATAATAAATCAAACCAATGATGTTCTATATAATTGTGAGTAAAGATGTGAAACAAGAAACAAAAAAAACAAAAAAAAAACAAAAAAAAACAAAAAAAAAACAAAGAAAAAACAAAGAAAAAAAAACAAAACAAAAACAATTAATCGAGTTGAAGTATTTATTGCTCTATGTGCGCTTTTCTTACATACATTCTCGTAAGCCTTATTTCGCTGCATAACTAAGACTGAAAAATGTGAGAAAGCGCCACGTGATCTTAAGGAATTCGTATGTGAAAGAAACCAAGCTAATGCATTAGCAGTTTTGGTTGTCGCTGCTTATGCAGCTTAAAACGTCATATATAATATGAGCATTGCGAGGCTCGTGAATCTCAGCACATTGAAGAAAAATTCGGTAAAATAAAAAATTAAAGGTAAAGGGTATGTAGACACACTTTTCCCATGTGATATGAGCAAAATCTTTTAAATAATTTTATACTTATACATGATATTCTATTGTCTAATAGTTAAGTCAAATAAAATCAAACGAAACTTTCATATTTTTGTTTCATTTTTGCTGTTCTTTGTTAAATCCTACCGACTCGATGACATTCTTTAAAAAGCAATAAACACACACCAAATAAAGTGAAGCAAGACGCGAGTGTATTAATACACGTTGATTAGTAATTGTAGTATTAATTAATTGTTTAAGACTATTTCCTTTTCTTCTCTTATTTTCTTTTTTAACGAAAATTCACATCGTCAAACGCTTTTTTTATTATACGCAAATTGTATTATTGAACAAATGTAGCACGATATTATTTTCTCCATAACATAATTCATAAATTCAGTCGTAAATGTAAAAATTAACATCGACGACGTAGACTAAACCCTAATGATCGAATAAGCCACATTCTTGAGATAATCAATAACATTTAATGATCATATAAAGTATCGTTTGTTTTTTTTTCTATTAGTAGCAATAGCAATCGTTATAGCATTAGCGAAAAATGCAAACTATGCAAATAAAATTAAATTTTGGTTATCAAATTTGATACAACAAGAACGAGCTTAAATTAATTACCGCATTATGTAGTATATTTTGCAAATATTCAACAACTGAAATAAAAATATTCTCAATGTTCAATTTAATCATTTCATTATCTAATATTTAGGCGCGAGGAAATATAGTTAAAATTTAATAACTAAATACACTTAAAAGTAATTTATAATCTTTTTGGACATTAATAACGAATGTTTAGTATATAATCGTATCTATGTTTATTTTTTTATAATTTAAGAAATATCATATTAATATAAATTACTCTTTACAATATTAATACGTAATTGTGTCGTAAGGACAAAAAAATAATTTCCAAAAATATATAAAACTAATTAATCATTGTTTTGCTTCACTTGAATTGTGCACATATATTATTGTTATTGTGGTTGTTATAACAATTTTTAATCCGACTTCAATTGTATCTCTAATTCAAGTAATTCTTTGTAATTAAGTATTTAAAACTTTGTACTAATTATTTTTTTAATATTTGTTTTTAAAAAGTGCATTATAGCCTATACAACGTATAATTTTCATGGTCCCTTGAAGAAAATTGCTATTATATTGTTTTAAAACAAAATAAAGTAATTAGCGATATATTCGTAAATACATATATTAACGTATCAAATATTTATGCATTATTTGAAATATTTTTAATGTATTAATTCAAACCTCATATAATTCTGCATATCTACATTTAAAATATTTTTAAGTTTTCTAAGAACAACTGTTCATTATACAAGTCATTTCTTAAAAAAAAAATTCGTTTATTACAAATGAATTTGTGTTTAATATTTAAACAAAAAATATTCACTTATTTGGGGTAAATTCCGTGGCAGTAATACAACAATTGTTGTTGTTTATAAAAAAAAAAAAAAAAAAAAAAAAAAAAAAAAAATTAATAATAATAATAAATAATGATCGTGAATATTTATTAGTTTTTAATTTTAATACGCGAACTAAATGCTTCTTAAAATTATAAAAATTTGATTATCTTGATATAATGTGTTTGCTAATGGTTTTTTGTAGCTGATTTTTATTTATTTATTAATAATTGTTAATTGAATTGTATTGCCGAATTAAAATTATTGCCATTCAAACGATTTATACTGAAATATTTCGAATATCGCATTCTGTTATCTGATATAAAAAAAAAAAAAATAATAAAAAAAAAAATAACGAATGAAATGTTTTGATTGAAATTGTAGTATTTTTGTAATTTTATTTAAATAAAATTATATAATACGTTTTCAAATGCCTTTCTTACCTGAATAAACCTTCTGTCTAAAAATAATTTCGTAAAAAATGGCGTACAGAGAATAATGATAACACGATGATTTTACGAGCTTTACATATATATTTATATATTATATGCATTTAAAAAATAACCTTTGCTTATGAATTTGTATAAACAATGAATATATTTATATACGTAAGATTTAGTTGCTACTGCCCAATAAGATCGATAAACTCGTTTACATTAAAAATGAAAGTTAATCACACCAAAGTAAAATAAACAATCATATAAATGCTATTTTATGATTTTTTTTTTACTGAAAATTGTCAGCCCATAGATAAATGCCTGAATAATATTATTAGCCTGGCATTATATTATTAATGATCAATTATTTTCACCATTAGTACATGTAGATTGAAAACTTATTCTAGCTTTGCGCTTTTGACACTCATCATTACACGTAGCTACGAACCACTTATGAAAGCAATATTACATTAATTAGTTGATAAGAAGTAAGTACAATTGTTTAAAGCGGCTATTTCACAATGAATCTCGCGTCAGATAATATATTAAGGAAGCCATATTGAAGTTATGCGACAATGCTGGGTTTTTCAGATAACCATGGATCTTGCGGAGCGTGGAGCCGAGGAGACTACAAAAGTAGATAAGGGCGGGATTAACGCGTGGAGCGATGTATTAGGATCACCTCGTTACGTGGTGGCACCCATGGTGGATGCCAGCGAACTTGCCTGGAGATTACTCAGCAGGAGACACGGCGCCCAATTGTGTTACACGCCAATGCTGCACTCGTCGGTCTTCTGCAGAGATCCGAAGTACCGGGCCGAAGCCCTTGCGAGTACTCCGGAGGATCGGCCTTTAATTGTTCAAGTAACGTACTCTACTATTTGCTATGATTTTTTTATTGCGCGAGCGGACATTGTGTAATTAGTCAGTAAATTAAAAATTTTAAATTGAGTATCATCGCATTCAATTAACTTTGACGCGAGGCTTTGGTACCTTTTTGGTAGGCTGTTTCTCATGATGATCCCGAGCACTCGCCTATCATTTATTTCAATTCTGAGTAATAATGTCCAGTTTTAGATGCTTATACCATTGACTTTTGCACGGAAATTTATACGACAATCTCGTTACCGATCATTCACAATCCATATTATCGCTTTGGCCTGATTCAAGTAAAGGGCTTTTGCCGCTATCCGAGTTCTTCCATAGCCCTTTAAGTTGGATTAATTTTGACGAAACGACGATGCGCAGTAATTTAAACATCCCTCTCTTTCTCGTTAATTTGACGTACGAGGTACCGGAGCTTCGTTGTCGATGCGCCCAAGTTCAAACACTCGCAGCTCGCGCAATCTTCATATTATGAATCTTACGCTCCCTGCGCTATCTGCAATATCCGCCTTAATCCTTTGATGCTTTTGCAACTAACGTAGGTATATGCGGTATATGCGTACTGTATGTTTTTCATTCTCTGGATCGATGTTTTGAGCCTACTAACAGAAGGAATCGTCTAATGTGTTAACGTTTAATGTATTAGAATCTTCCATAGAGTGGTGATGTTTCGTTGTACTCTTCTGCATATTTTAAAGTATAAAATTCGCAGTTTGCATAGAGAATAAAGAACGACAATTTTATGCGACGTTTTAACTCTTGAGCAATTTGTTAGTAAATAAATTTAAAGAAAATTTTATTATTGTACAATTCAAATTTAAATTAATATTCTGCTATATTTATTTTTTTGTTTTTGTTTTTGTTTTTTTTTTTTTGTTTTTTTGTTTTTTTTTGTTTTTTTTTTTTTTTGTTAAATTAATCGCATTGTCAATCGATACTATCTAGTCTTAAAATAAATACTTGATAAATGCAATAGGCTTTCTACGAATTAATTATTAAATTAGTTTTTCACTAAAGTAATTCTGAGGCTACATATACGCCAAGTCACACTGAGAGTAAGCTTTCGTTGAAAAGCGAACGGCTCTTGAATCATCAACGTTTATTTTATACCAATTGTGTTCACTTACTGACCTATTGCATGGAATGTGTAACTTCAGTAGCTCGTAATGAAATTATTCGTTCAACGAGGTAAGCAAACTAGGACGCCTCTTGCCAAATCGACGATTCACTAAATACTTTTTTCGAGTCATTGAGGCGCGAAACACGATGCCCGCAATTAGCAAATAATCTCCAATTTTATGCATGCTCGCATACACATGTAAAAATAAACGTAAATGTGTCGAGATGTTGAATTTACCTAATACCGGTTTTAAAGTAAAGCTGAGCCGAGCCGTCAACCACTTCCTTTGCATTTGAAATACTCTCGTGCCTGCACGATAAAGCAACAGTAATATTTTAAACATCGATATCACGGGGCCTTTTAAATGGATCCTTAAAGCCGATTAGAGCCGATTAATTTGCCCAATATTAAGAAAATTGTGGCGCTAATAGGCGTTTCTAAATTTCCACCAATATAGGAATAATGACTCTTTCTTCATCATCCGTGTACCACCGTTTTCTTAAAGGATATTCACATACTGTTCACGAAAATATACTAATGATAATGATAGCAATAATAATAATAATAATAATAATAATAATAATAATGATATTATTCCTCTAGTTTTGTGGCAATGATCCCGAGACACTGTTAAAGGCGGCTTTATTAGCGGAATCTTATTGCGATGCAATTGACTTCAACATTGGCTGTCCTCAAGCAATAGCGAAAAGGGGCCATTATGGGGCTTTCCTGCAGGACGATTGGGACCTGCTAAAAGAGATCGGTGAGTATGAATTTGAGATAAATTTACTTAAATCGCGTCTGATCGTCTCTAATGGGATTATAATAATACGGATCTTCGGTGACTTCGAAATTACAGTATCAAAAATCAGCAAAGGAATTCGAATTCCCGTCACGTGCAAACTTCGCGTCTTCTCAGATATCAACAAAACGATCGAATATGCTAAAATGCTGGAGGAGGCTGGAGCAAGCATATTGACGGTGCATGGACGAACTAGGGAGCAAAAAGGACCGTTAACGGGTGTAGCATCGTGGGAGCACATACGTGCCGTCAGGTATCAACTTTCCAACTTTCGTTCTCCAATTGCAATTTTAATAAAAATAGACGGAGAAGCAGATCTTTCTAATCGAGTCGAGCGTTTATTGCATCTAGCAATGCGAGGATTGGTGGATGCCGATTATCAAAAGGAATTAATTCTAATACTCGAGGAATACGTGATCAATTATCATAATGGCGTTGGTATTCACGATCCACATATTCGCCAACTCATAAATATCGGAATGTGTGCATGTTGAACGATCGTTCGCGTTTCAATCTCCTTCATGATTCAAAAAGTACAAAGATTCGTAACAATATCCACGAGCGTTATTCATCAGCCTTAAATTAACTCGATTAAATTATTATTACAATTAGGATGAAAAGTTACCTTCCATAATACTTGTTGCGCGTTTTTAAATTATCTTGAGTATTTATGGGTTAAAAAGTTTCCACACCTCCGATGTTTATCATTTAACTTTCTAATAACATATCTAATCCATCATTTTCCTTCCTTCGACCCTCATAGATACTCTTCCTTATTAATCTCATTTTCTTATGCTAATTATTAGTGTAAAACGTTCATCGGGGCAATATCACATACGTTTCAATGGAATTGCTTAATATTGAGCGGGGAGATACAAAAAAAAAAAAAAAAAAAAAATAAATATCGTGTAAAGATTACTCTTGGATATAATCGACAGATTTCTGCTTCTCATTGGAAGGTTATCGAGAGATTTTAATTTACTAATCGATCGATCGAATGATTTTCAGGCGCTCCTTAAAGATACCAATTTTCGCAAATGGCAATATACAGTACCTGCAAGACGTTAAGAAATGTGTGGAAGAGACGGGCGTTGAAGCTGTAATGTCCGCCGAAGGCAATCTTTACAATCCCTATATCTTCGAAGGCACTTATCCACCAAGTTGGGAGCCCGCCACGGAATATCTCGACCTCCTGGAGAAATATCCTACGCCGTCTTCGTTTATACGCGGACATCTCTTCAAGCTTTTCCAGCATATGTGCGTTGAAAAAGATAAAAATTAAATTATCTGCCATAAATATCGATCGCGGATTACATGTCATTCAATTCAATTCAATTATTCATTTATCATTTAAAGCGTTATGATATCATTATTAATGCGGGAATTCGAGTGAGAGTGTTCGATTCCTTTTGCGACCCATACCGAGTATACAAAAAAATTTTCCACAAATCCATTTAATGCCCAACACTCGCGTCTCCCTATTATTTACACGTTAAATTCACTATTATTTAAAAGATACATTCAATGTAATTGATTTGAATATAATGATTATAGCATTGTTTTAACTAGAGAGTAGGTTTCTTTTAACAGAGAATGCGACCGAGAGGGCAAACTTGGCTGAAAACTCAACGATGGAATCGTTTCGGAATGTCGTTCAAGCTTTAAAAGACAGATACTTACCTTATCACGAAGGTCATTTAATATGGCGACGAAATAACGAAGGTACATCATTAGTTATAAACAATGTACGTGAATTCGAATCTTATGTTTATGCTTGATCGTTGTAGATTACAATTTGGAACTTCCACCGTGGTTGTGCCAACCTTATGTACGTCACAGTCCGGAAGAATATATTAATAAAATAGAGGCAAACAAATTTCAAACGGTAAGAGCAATTTTGACGACTTTTTTATTATTATTATTATTATTATTATCCTTCCAATTGTATTTATTTTCAAAGAGCATACTAAAATTATTAATACTACACTATCGGTGCAGAACATTTCCTTAAATATTAAAAAAACTTAAATATATATCACACAGCAAGAATAATATTCTTGCAAATATACACATTTAAACAAGCTTTATTCACAAGAATTTGATTCAATTATAGTTACGAAAACTAACGATGACAATAGTAATAATAATAACAGCAACAATATTTAAATAATAAGTTAAAGATTATTATAAAAATTATTAAAAATACAATGAAATTTCTTATTTAATTTCGTATGTAGACATAGCCTTGTATTATTATTTACCAAGTGTACATTTCGTTTTTATACATTCTTTCGTATAAAAAAAGATAAAAAAAAAAAAGAAAAACATTAACCCCTGATCTGAATTTTATTTATTCAAGTAAGAGTCGAAACTACCTGAATATCCGATTCGTTAAGGTTTAATTTTCCTTAATTTATTGAAAAATATGGGCTCTTGATAATACGAATAGAATTGCGTTTAAAAATTTCAACGATAATTAAAAGCCACAATTATCTATTCACGTTAATAAAATCTATCATTTTAATTGGCTAATTATGCTCTAATGCACATTAATAAATTTCTACTAATTTAATACTACGCTCGGAATAAAAAGAATTTTGTCATGTCATATCATATCGTATGCTCACAGATTACAGATGCAAATGTGAAGAGAATCAGCGAAGACCAACACGGGAATCAAATTTCACGAAAACGATTAAAGAAACTGAGAAGAATAGCTCGAAGACCGAATAGACCAACAGTGCATATTAAACGTGGATCAAATTTGTGTGAAAATTGCCCAAATCCATTGGTAAGCTCTTAGGTTATTTTTCAAATATTTTATCTCAATTATACGCAACATTATTTCATATATACATCATTGTATTTATTTATTTTCTCTCTCTCTCTCTCTCTCTCTCTCTCTCTCTCTCTCTTTTTACTGCAGAGTTTAAAATGTGAATATCAATCATGTCGACAATGTTGTCGAAATAAATGTTTCGCCGAAAATTTAGATTGTACAGGACACAGAAATTTGACTAAGACGAGGAGGAAAATGGCAATAGAATTCGCTAAACAGAGAAATAACAATCCAAGTTGACATTTAAAAGTATTGTTCAGTTATGCAATAAATGCTTGTAAATAATCATTTTTATCGTTTGTTTGTTTTCTTTTTTTTTTTTATTCACATTCTATTAGTTTGTAAATAATTGCTTTCCTTATTTCATTAAATTTTCTAAAATAATTACTTTGTCAATAGTAATTTCAATTTCTACTTATGATACAAGTTTCTTTTCTCCTTACAAATTTAACTTTACTAATTATTATTTTACATTTGTACGAATTAAAATAGCACAACGTTATTTATTCAAATTATTAGACACGATTTTTTAGCCAACCGGCGTTGGTTGGATAAATTTCGATATCCTGTCAATAATTTGACCTTTTTCTTCCACTTCCGTTAATTTTGAATAGTCGGCCTTGCCAGTACCAAGGAACCAATATTTTTTGCTCACGAGCATTAGCATCATCAGAATTGGCAAATGTAACAAAGAAAATCGAAACAGTCGTCGCGAAGTTTTAGCATCGCCTTGCTTTTTGAATTCCCAGGCTTAAATAAAAACAAGCACACGTATATAAGAATAAATTTATATTCCGCTCATAATAGACTATTTTAATAGATATATTTACCCAGATAGAGAAAATAAGCGTTTAAAGGGGTCGATACTAATGCAAACCACCAATTTGTTACATCCAAGAGTGGCGCAATGTATGAAAGGCCAGTTAAAGCGACTGTGTAGTTGAATGAGGTTTGGCGACAAAGAACTGGATTGTTAACCGCCATCATTCTGTAACCAGCTTTTGAATAATCAGGCCTCAAATTCCATGATAGAGCATTGAAATGAGGAAACTGCCATGCATATAAAATACCGGACATTATCCATGCACCAGGATCAGCTATACTTCCAACACAGGCTGCCCATCCCATGAGAGGTGGAACTGCTCCAACTGGAAGTGTAGGAAAATTTGAAAAACTAGATCTTTTGACATCAATTTCTGTCTGTGTTTTATTGAAAAGCTTATTGAGTCGATATGTTTGCAAAACTTTGTCAAAACTTTTACGAGTGTCAAATTTCAATCGTAATGTCTCTTAATTGACAAATTTCTTTTCACGAAATAATCCATCAAATTCTTGTAAATCTTTATAAATATTACAACAAATTTATATTAAAGTAAACTGTAATACAAGAATGCATGTAACTAGTTACAATTATTTGATGAGGAAACTATTATTAAAATTTATTAGTTTATTACATTTTTTAGTCACTTGTCTACCTTATAATTCCATTAACCTTTCATTATAAGCATTTCTTCTTTTTTTTTACTTTGTAAAAACTACCACGGCTGCGTCTTTTAACTTATTTAACAAATAAATGAACGCATATTAAGATAGACCTAATATTGTCATTATTATTGTTGTTATTATTATTATTATTATTATTATTATTATTATTATTATTATTACCATTATTGTTATTGTTATTACTATTACTATATATACTCTATATTACTATATATATATATATATATATATATAAATTGGTAGTAACAGGACTTACCTACAGAACCAATCCAAGTATTTAAAATTGTAATCCTTTTCATAGGAGTATAGATTGACGTGTATAAAATTAAATTAGCACCTCCCAGAATTGCCGTTAAACTATTGACTTGAAACGCTAATAAAGATAAGCCAGTAACGCCAGAGATTGCAGCAAATGTAATAGCATGTTCTTGACTGGAATGGATGTAATTTTTAAAAATTTACACGCTTATTTTATACTATAATAGATTATATACTACATACGTAAGTAAACCACGGACTAGAACTCTATTTTTTGTTCGTGCCATTTGAGCATCGAACGAAACTTCCATCGACTGATTAACAGCATTCGCCGATGCAGAAACTAATCCAGTACCGATAGAACATGATAAAAAAGTGGTAAGGTCAAACGGTCCTGGAGCTATAGCGTAACCACCCATAGCAGTAATAACAACTAAAGCTGTAACAAAATTAAGATTCGTTACAAGTTTCTCTAGTTAATTGAAAAGATTTCGGTTTGAATTTTACTTTACTTGAGGGGAAATTAATTTAAAAATTTAAGCAATTTTATAAATTACAGACTCACATGTTAACCTTATTTTCGATAACATAAGACAATATTTATGTAGTTGCGTTGGGTCGATTTCAATTTTACCCCATTTCCAATAAGAATTGCTTATCGCTGTATTTTTATTTTGAAGATCTTCGTGATTATTGGAAGATGCGAAGCCTATGTCAGGAAAAATGGAAGTCTTTGTATTGATCGCATTGAAACGAACTTTCTTCTTTTTGTTTCCGGCTGTGTGCTGTGTTGTTTCCTTCGTAGATGATGGCTTTGACTTTGGTTGCGCTGCACCGGCAGTATACTAAAAAATATTCATCCGCGATTAATACACTTTTCTTAAGAAAATAATAGATGGTAGAAGAGACCGGCACATTGACAGGTCAAGTTTATTACAAGGTCTGTGTAGACTTATTGAAATATTCATAAACTATTAAAATTATTGGTGCGTTATACTTAATGTAAATTAAATTAAATTAGAGGATGACGAGTTGAAAATGAAAAGAGGCAGAACTTGAAATATTAAGGTAATTGATTTATCGATTATTAATGTATCGTTATCTGGCATTGGGTAGAGAGAAAGATGTCAAATTTTGGAAAGCTTTGCAAATTGATTTTATTAATTATAAAAATGTAATAAATAAAATGATGACTTACAGGTGTTGTAAGTATTTTCGATGTAGGTAAACATGATAGTTTCCAACAAAACCTAGCTGGTTGTATGGAAAATATCATATTAATGTGTACTCGATTAGAATTAATAAGCTGCTGCTCTCATGCTGAAAATGAAAAAATGTTAATTGATACATAATTGACTTTAATTAATTTGAGGATAGAGAGCGAGGGCGAGAGAGAGAAGGAGGGAGAGAAGGTTTCCATAAAAATGACAGTAAGTAATATTATTTACACGTAATGACATAATGCAGTGCACTTCAATAACAAATCGTAGCAGTTGGCAGCATTATAAAAATAAAAGACAAATGTCTTAAGCAGAACACGATCTACGAAAATACGAGCACATACATCGTGTCGATATAATCGCTAATTGATAATCGACTGCCAATGATTTTAAATAAAGACTCCACGTTATTACTGCCGCGTACATCTAATATTGCGGGAGATAATGCTGCGTCGAAATCAGTCGTAAAATAGAGAAAACCGAGCTTTAAGCACGAAAGCAGACACGATCGACCGAAAGCTAATAGCCATGCGAGAATTATAGGAGCCGCGGGGCCGGGGATGGGATGATTGGTGATGGGGGATGGGGGGATGGGGAATGGAGGATGGGAGTTTGCCGACCCTTTAAGAGAGAGAAAAAATAAGAAGATGAGAGAAAAAACTAGCGGAGAAATGCTTATTGAAGGAAAAGGCGAGCGTCAAAAAGAGCGGTAAGAGCCCGTACGACGAATGGTTATTAAAACGTGGAGAAAGAGGCCGGGATAAGAAGAGAAATAACGAACCTGTCTCTCATACACAGCCAAACACGCGCGCGCGCGCGCGCGCGTTCTCTCTCGCTCTCTCTCACGCGCGCGTACACACGCACGCACACGCACGCACGCACACTCACGCACACGCACGCACACTCACGCACACTCACTCTCTTTTTCAGCCGTCAGCTGCGGTGACAGTTAGCCTTCGCGAGCGACGATAACCAGCCGAACGATTGACATTCGGATTAATGAAAAAGCTTAGCGAGGCAGCAGGCATGCCCCGGAGAGATGAAATATTGCATAATAAATGGAGCGGAGTGAGCGTGTGGGTAGGTTAGCGGTGCCGTGGGGCGCGCTCGACGTTCGGTAACGTAGCGAGAAGAGCAGAACGGCATTGGTTGGCGATCGACTCGAGCAGGAGCCGTCGGGAGCGCGGCGTTGGCTGTCTAGGCGCGGTGGTCGTTTTCGTAATTCGACGTAAGTCCGGCCCGACCACGGAGCAGGCGCAATGAGAGAGGCAACTCTCGGGCTTTGGGTAGCGTTCGAAATCTACCCCCCCGATTTCGGCGAAGCCAAGATATAATTAAGCGCTCGCCGTTGGTGAGCTCGTTGCTTGTGCCCCTACGGTGCCATTTCATTCAAAATTACGGGATCGAGGGCCCTCGCCGCGGCCCCGACGTTATCGAGATCGATCCGGTCAACGTGTCCCGACCAGTTAAAAAATTCAAGACTCCGCAAAGATGGTCCGCGCAGATGAAAGAAGCTAAAGATAATCTCACCGTCCGGAAGATCGTAGATAAGCTTCGCTGTGAATTAAGGTTATGTAAAATGTAGATACTGGAACAATCATCTTTGTAAATACTCGATTGCGAGACCGTGGAAAAGTTGAAGAGAGGACAGTTTTTAATATCCATGGACTATTTGAAAGTGTCTATCGAATTATACGACGATTATCTATGGCAAGAGCGCAGGCTCACTGGTGTTTGCGTTGCGTCAAAAATAATGCACGCTACAACTCCCTTTAAATGGAGGAAAGTGGCCGGTGACGTCCCGTCATCGCGCTACCTTTAATCGACGCGGATGCTGTTGTTGTCGCGTTAATGAGTCGCAAAGTAAGTAAAACGCAGCCCCCGTCCCGTGAACGGCCGTACAAAGGTGCGCTTCCTTGCAGAGATGTCGATTTAAGTGAAGGCAAAACAGAAAAAAAAACTGGAGTTCGAGCGCCATATAGCATGACGAGCTCGTCGCCACAGCCTTCACCAATGCCGCCTCCCCAGGCTCCGAATCAAATGGGGCCGCCGCAACAGGCGCCCTCGCCCTCTAATCATCCTCATAGTCCTGCCCCTGGTTATCAGGAGGGCCCGCCACAGCCCATGTCACAGCAGTCACAGCAGACTCCACCACCCATGTTTCAGCCACAACACCCTGGTTAGCAAGATCCTACTTTAGCGTGACTTTTTTTTTTTCTCAAATTTTTCCACACTCTTGGCCCAGTGTCACCCAGCGCGCTTAACCATTTGCCTCGTTGTCTACGATTTCTACAATTTCACAAGCCTAATAAAGAAAATAGTCAGCCAATTAAATGAATTTTACAATCTAGGCCGTGGCATACAATTTTCTTACGATATTGCTCAATTTTCGTTACTTAAATTTTTACTTTTGTGTACTTGTCGCTTCATACACGATCTCTATTATGCATCTTACAAAACAGCTCTATCCATTAAGAATGCTACGTTCTTCTTGTAATCGATATAATGGCTTTTTACCATGTGCTTGGACATGAATAAATGTACCTTACAAACTTCTTACTGTTATTGTAATTTGCGATGAAAAAATTATTGAATTAGCTAAAAGTATTGTGTGGAGTTGTCTCTTGAATTTTTCAGCGATCGCTTAGTGTCGTGTCTCACAATAACGCAGCCAATTTTAACAAGAATCTTATTTTAACCATTCGAGATTATTCTTTGACAAAGTCAAAGTGCTCGTTGTCTGCACAAAAAAATACGCGATTCGCAGTTCCTCAACATTTTTACTACGGCTTTTGTCATTGGAGGCGAAGTTCTTTTATCGAATTCTAATTCTTTACAATAGGACAACCACCGCAGCAGGGCTATAGCGTTCTTCCGCCTCCTCAGCCCCATCAACAGTCACCGCAAAGCTATCCTCATCCTCAACAGATGCCCCCAAACATGGGCATGCCACCGCATCATCCTCACAGCCCTTCTCAGGGTTACGAGAACGTTCAATCGTCTCAAATACAAGGAGTGCCTCAGCAGCAAGGAAATTACCAGCACCCATCGCATCAAGTTCCTCCTCATCCGCAATCGTCTCATCAGCAGCCTCCGCATACGCAGCCACCTCATCAGCAGGGACCTCATCCGCAATCGTCTCACCAGCAGTCGCCACATCCCCAGCCACCCCATCAGCAGGGACCTCATCCGCAGGGTCCCCATTCGCAATCGCCTCATCAACAGGGACCCCATTCGCAACCACCTCATCCGCAAGGTCCACATTCCCAGTCGCCTCATCAGCAAGGTCCCCACTCCCAGTCGCCCCATCAGCAAGGCCCTCACTCCCAATCTCCCCATCAGCAAGGCCCTCACTCCCAGTCTCCCCATCAGCAAGGACCTCATTCGCAGTCGCCTCATCAGCAAGGCAGTCACCAACAGCCTCAGCACCAGCAGCCCCCCCATCAGCAGCCCCCCCATCAGCAGCCCCCCCATCAGCAGCCTCCGCATCAGCAATCATCTCATCAGCAAGGACCGCATCAACAATTACCTCACCAGCAGGGGCCACATTCCCAGCCGCCCCATCCGCAGACCTCTCACCACCCATCCCCGCATCAGCCTCCGCATCAGGGACCCCATCAAGGCCCTCATCAGCAAGGTCCTCATCAGCAAGGTCCACATCAGACCCCTCACCAGCCCGGTCACGGCCCATCCCATCAACCGATTCCACACCAAGCTCAGCTACCTGTCCCACAGTATTATCAGCCCCATCCTTCGCAAGTAGGCGGAAATGCCGGCGGTATGGGACAAGGCGGACCACCTGGACCTACGCCAGGACAGCAGCAGTCTTCGCCCCCCCAAGGTCCACTTGGCTCGGTACAGATGGGTCATGGCCAAACCGGTCATAATGCTCCATCGCACTCGCCTGGACCCGGACTACCTCATCCACCCGAAATGAGACAAAGTATAGGTACGCATTCAACCAAATTCTAATTATTCTGTATTTACAGGCACTCGTCGAGTCGATGAGTTTACTTTGCGAGGTCAGTTATTGACATTGTTGACAATGTGACAGATTTGAAAAAATAAAATAATCAATATAATAGCATAGTATGAGGAGAGTATAAGATTTAATTCAAGGCAAAGGAAAAAAAAGAGCAAATTGAGAATAAGAAGTTGAAATTTGATGTTGAACGTTGAAATCTAAAATTACACTTCTCTCCATAGGTAATCAGCAACAAAATCCCGGTGGTCCTGGAGGTCCCGGTGGGCCAATCGGTTCCGGAGGCCCCGGCGGACCTAGTGGGCCTATGGGTGCCGGTGGTCCGGGAGGCTCGATGGGTCCCGGAGGTCCTGGAGGGCCAATGGGTGGCGGCGGGGCCGGAGGTCCAATGAACCCCGTTGTTCCCGGTGGTCCGATGAATGCCGTAGGTCCTGGCGGACCCGGCGTACCCATGACTCCCGGGGGCCCAATGGGCGCTGCCGTTCCTGGAGTAGCAATGGGCGCGGTGGTTCCCGGAGGGCCCATGGGCGCGGGGGTACCCGGAGGTCCAATGGGGGCTGGGGGTCCTATGGGCCCGGGTGTCCCGATGGGTCCCGGTGGCCCGATGGGGAGCGGAGGTGCCGGAGGCGTGCCCGGCGGCCCAATGGGTCCCGGGGGTCCCGGAGGTTTGATGGGGGCGGGTGGTCCCATGGGTCCTGGTGGACCAATGGGCCCCGGAGGCCCGATGGGTCCGGGAGGCCCACCGCCACTCGGCCAGGGACCCGGACACATTAGTCCCAGCACCCAGAACGGCCCGTCGGGGCCCGGCACGGTGACAGGACCCGGTGGCATGCCAGGACCGGGTCCTGGGCCTGGACCCGGTCCTGGGCCCGGACCCGCCCTCGTACCCGGACAGGGCCAGGAGAACTTGAACGCCCTACAAAAAGTAATCAACACCATGGAGAAAAAGGGACTGCAGGAGGATCCCCGTTATTTGCAGCTCCTCGCGCTTAGGGCCCGGCAAGGTAGTAACGAGAGTCAGGTGTTCAGTCCGCAGCAGCTCCAGCAGTTCCACGCCCAGATAATGGCGTATCGCGCTCTGGTGCGGAACCAGCCGTTGAGTCCCCAGCAAGTGATGGCTGTGCAGGGCATCAATCAGCGACCCAGTGATTCGACCCAGGCCGGTCCAATGGGGCCCGGCGGTCCACCCGTTGGTCCGCCGCACGTATCCATGGGTGTTCCCGGTTTTGCCGGCCCACCGAGACTAGGACCCGGGATGCCACCACAGCAACAACATCAGCAACAACAGCAGCAGCAACAGCAACAACAGCAGCAACAGCAGCAGCAGCAACAGCAGCAGCAGCAGCAACAGCAACAGCAGCAACAACAGCAGCAGCAGCAGCAGCAACAGCAACAACAACAGCCTCCTCATCCGCAACAACAGGGGCCCCAAGCCGGTAGCAAAACCAATCGAGTCACGACTGTCGCCAGGCCCGCTGGCCTCGATCCCCTTATGATATTACAAGAACGCGAGAGTCGCGTCGCTCAGAGGATCCTGCAACGCATGGAGCAGCTTGGCTACCTTCCTGCCCATATATCCGAGGATTTACGCAGTCAGACCCAAATAGAGCTGCGAATGCTACGAGTTCTAAACTTCCAGCGGCAGCTCAGATCGGAAATCTTAGCCTGTACACGTAGAGACACGACACTCGAGACGACGGTTAATATGAAAGCGTACAAGCGCACGAAACGACAAGGAGTCAGGGAGGCTCGAGCGACGGAGAAGCTTGAGAAGCAGCAGAAGCTGGAGGCTGAGAGGAAGCGAAAGCAAAAGCATCAGGAATTCATTACCTCGGTGCTGCAGCATGGCAAGGATTTGAAGGAGTTTCATCGTAACAATATTGCCAAGCTGTCGCGTCTAAACAAGGCCATTATGAATTATCATGCCAATGCTGAGAGAGAGCAGAAGAAGGAGCAGGAGAGGATAGAGAAGGAGCGTATGCGACGGTTGATGGCAGAGGATGAGGAGGGTTACAGGAAGCTCATCGATCAGAAGAAAGACAAGCGCTTAGCGTTCCTGCTTTCGCAGACCGATGAATATATTGGCAATCTCACAGAGATGGTGAAGCAACATAAGATGGAACAAAAGAAGAAGCAGGCCGAGGAACAAAAACGCAAGAAAAAGAAAAAGAGACTTTCGATAGAGGGAGAAAATGGCGAAAGAGCCGATGGCGAAGACGTTAGAGTAGAAGTCATGGAGACCAATACTGGCCGTACTTTGACCGGTGACGAAGCACCTTTATTAAGTCAGTTAAATGCATTTTTGGACTCCCATCCAGGATGGGAAGCAGTTGAGACTGATAGCGAAGAAGAGGAGGAAGATGACGAGGAAGAAGCGGAGGAAAAAGAAGAAAAAGAAGACAAAGAGAAGCCAAATGTTGGAGAAGACTTGAAAACTAAAAAGTCGATACAGAAAGCCAAAGTGGAGGATGACGAGTACAAAACTGAAGAACAAACTTACTATAGTATTGCTCACACAGTTCATGAAAGTGTTACTGAGCAGGCATCCATCATGGTAAATGGACAATTGAAAGAATATCAAGTTAAAGGTTTAGAATGGATGGTATCGTTATTCAATAATAATCTCAATGGCATATTAGCCGATGAGATGGGGCTGGGTAAGACTATTCAGACAATAGGTCTTGTCACGTATCTCATGGAAAAGAAGAAAGTTAATGGGCCATTTCTTATTATCGTTCCTCTATCCACTCTCTCCAATTGGATACTCGAGTTTGAGAAATGGGCTCCGAGCGTTGTCGTCGTTTCATATAAAGGTTCTCCAGCAGGAAGGAGAACCATTCAATCACAGATGCGTGCCACAAAGTTCAATGTCTTGTTGACAACCTATGAGTATATAATAAAAGATAAGAGTGTCTTGGCAAAACTGCAGTGGAAGTACATGATTATTGACGAAGGACATAGAATGAAGAATCATCATTGTAAATTAACTCAGGTCTTGAATACGCATTATTTAGCGCCTCATCGCCTACTGCTCACGGGTACACCGTTGCAAAATAAATTGCCAGAGCTCTGGGCCCTGCTGAACTTCCTTCT